CTGCCGCTCTTAAGACAATAATTAATAACTTTCTTAACACCTAATTAGATCCCTATATATTTATATATTATATTTCCTCGTTTCTTTACGGTTATCTTCTCGCGAATCCAGCCATACGATATACGGCAGCATCCCACGTTCGGTTGGGCGGCAGAGGTGGCTGTAGGACCCTCGCGTTAAAATAAAAAAAAACTAAATAGAATGCTATAGTCGACTTTCCCGACTATTAGAATTTTCTGAAATATCGCTAGAAAAGGGCGGTTAGTGGGCGGTAGAGTGAGCGTGGCAAACAGTTTTTTGGTAAATCGATACAAATTTACAAGACTAATAAAAAAATGAAAAATATCAAAATATTTTTCAAAAGTGTGGGCGTGGCAGTTTTTGGGTGGTAGAGTGGGCGTGGCAAAGAGATTTTTGCCAAATCGATAAAAATTTACAAGAAAAATACAAAACTGAAAAGACATCAAGACATTTTTCAAAAGTGACAACATTTTAAAACAAACTTGCGCTGTGTCTATGTCTCTGGAATCCTGAGATCGAAGCGTTCATACGGACGGACAGACAGATGGACATGGCCAGATCAAGTGGGCTAGTGTTCCTGACTATCGGAAAGGCTTCCTTCTACCTGTTACATACTTTATAACCCTTTTACTTTACGAGATATCTCGGATCTTTCCGATATTTAGAATGAGAAATTGTTAAATTAAAATTGATTTTGAAAGAAAGAATTGAAGAACGAAGTCCTTCCAATAAGGAAGATTACTGATGGATTGAGTGGCTCCAATATTTGGACTCCCAGTTTTCACCCGAGATGAGCCACAAATAAGAATGCCCCAAATCAGGACCAAGAGAAAGTGCGGATTTCTAGCTAAATAAATTGTTGTAAGGCGGCCGTACAACGTTCAGATGCGTCCCTCTTTCAGTCACTAAACACACAGGAAACACGGCTCGTAGACTAAGCCACCAGCAGGAAGGAGCTTGCGGTTGGTTCGGCAATCCTGGAGTAATTGGCGTTAGATCACGGATTTAATGGTAACATCACAGAGGCAGGGGTATACGTCCAAATTGCAAGCGATAATGTGCCTCTTTTACTGGAGCTTGCAGCCATACCAGACAAACCACACAAATGAAGAGTTGCATTTTCAATCTGTGTGATTGGCAGGCAATGTTTGGGATTTTAGAAACCACATCTATTACGAGAATTACTGTGCATCTTTTCCGCTTCTGGGATATCCTGGTGAATCCTCGTTTGTTCGTACCAATTTAATTCACGAATGCAACAGCAACATCAATACAGCAATAACTACGAAAATCAGTTATTTACACATATATGCTTACTTTTTGTTCCAGTGTACAAATTAGCCCAGCGCGAGTAATGTAAAATAGAATAATGTAAAATTAAAGCTAGAATGTTTTGATTAGGTATGCAGATTTCAGAGACCTAAACGCAGCTCAAGTTTGTTTTCTGGTGATTCCACGCCCTCTCTAATGCCAACAACTCCACCATAAACTGTCACCCCTTCACTTTGAAAAATTGTTTAAGTTGTTCTCGTTTTATTTTTGTCTTGCCAATTTCTATCGGTATACCAAAACCATTTTGACCACGATTCTTCTAACGCCCACAAACCGCACAAAAGTTTCACGCCCACTCTTTTAAAAATGTTAAAATTTCTCGTTCGCACTTCCACTGGTTGAGTAACGGGTATGTGGTAGTCGGGGAACTCGACTATAGCGTTATATAGCTGCAATACTGGACTTTATGGCACTTATTTGAGTCCACATCCGTTCCACTGTTCATAGGTTGGATAACCTTCATTGCGTGATCGAGTCGACAAGGGAGCACATTAAACTAATGTCAAGTAAGGTCAAAGGATTAGTGGATGTTTGGAGTAAATTGAATCAAGAAACGTGAACGAGACCGTTTTGACAAAAAAGTCTGTCCACGTAAATGTGGTAATATACAGACACTTTTTGTTTGTAAAAACCGTCAAACCGATTGGATGCCTTTTTGACCACTTGATGGCATTGGCACATTTTCACAAGTTTGCTACAGATAAAAAAAGCAATAAAAAGGGAGGCAAGCTTATGCCAGCTTATAACCCTTGTAGTATTTATATATTTAAATAAGCTACATATACATCTAAGGGTGGAAAGGATAATAACCTCCCACCACAGGGACACCGCATGAAGCTTAATTTAAGTGATTCATAGCCTATAGAAAACCACATATTTAATATTTGTTATATTAGAATGTGAGAACATACTATAAAAAATTAAAAAGAAAGCTTTGACGAAAATAGAGTATGCGCAAGGCGAAGAAAACAAAAAATCGTTTGCCGTCGTTATATCAGGATTCCAAGCATTTTCCAGAGATAATGTTTTGATATTACAAACTGCACAAAACTTCCACGCCCACAGTTTTGAAATGTGTTGAACTTCATTTCATTTTCCTATTCGTTTTTCAAATTTCTATCGAAATGTCAAATTTTTTCTAACGCCCACATTCATTTTATTATTAGTGTGTCCAATACTTATCGATATGTTAAAGAACTGTGGCCACGTTACTTTCTGGAATTTTCAAATTATATTATATTTTGTTGCCCATTTCCATTAGTATACCAAAAAGATAGTTGAACTTTTCGTTTGCACTCCCACTAGCTGACTAACGGGAACTTGACTATAGCGTTCACTCTTTTTAAGGAAAAATTCACGTGCATTTAGAAAAGTTATAGTAAGAATTGACTAATTCAACAGTGTCAATAGACCCATTCGTTAGAATGATGTCAATCTAGAAGTGGAGACATAACTTACAACTGAAAGATACAGCTATCAGAACATTTAATTACAACTGCAAAACTGAAATCAAAGAGGCTTACGGTTTTCAGAAGTTTACCGATTAAATTTGGAATATTTTTAATTACAACTACTACATATAGTTGCCGGATCGGAACTGAAATCAGATTTGAGATCTCACAAGTCCTTATATATTATATATATTATATATTATAAGCTATAGGCAATAGGTTTATTGCCTACTTTAAACAAATAAAAAACAATATCGCCTAGTCTAACGTTGTTAAAACGGAACAAAATGTTTCTTAAAAAATGCGTTTTCAGCATTTGTAAACTAAGTGCCATTGTTAAAGCACGAATTAATTTCGGGTGTAGTTCACCCAAGCCCTTTGGGAATACGGATTATAATTTCAATTAAATTTTTGCTCTCCTTGCCTAGTATGCACACTCGGAGTGCAAACCGGCAAGTGGGGGTAGCTCTGCTGCATGTGTTTTGTTTACTCTGGACTTAAGGTTTAAAATGGATTTGTTTGAGTGCCAGCAAGCCGACTAGAGCACGACTACTAACATGCTTCCTTTGGTTTTTACGCCTACCACCCAACCATTTCATCCCCGGCATTTCAAACACATGTCGCTCGCGCTCCTCGCCATTTAAGCTATTTAACGGCTTTCTCCAGCTTCGTGCTCAACTCTTTCCTGCCACGATTTCCCACTACTTAAGTTTTTCCGACTTTTTCATCAATTTTTGTCTTTTCTGGTATTATTATTAGCTTATCTAACTGAATCGATCTTGACGTCTATAGTTTGCTGCTCTAAAGTATACGACCTAATTAAAAATTATATGACTTAAAAAGTGTCAAGTTAAAGAAGTATCAACAGCATTTTTACAAGACACAAGACCAATTCTGGGTGAAATTTCAAATCTCCGTAACAATGCATCTGCAAGAATATGAGTAAAGCTGAATTGAATGAACTTGAAACCCATTTATATACTTTACGTGTAAAGTGTAGAAGGAAGAGCTTACATACATATTATGCATATGCATATTCCTGATGGTCGAGTCGATCTAGTCATGTCCTCCATGTGAACGACAAGTTAACGGGAACTACTTGTATGAAAGCTAAAATGTTGAACTAAGGGATGCAGATTCTATAGACCCCTGCGGTGTGCGCATAACTTGTGGGCTATAAAAAGGTTATAATAATGGACAGTATATAAGCAAGTAAAGTAATGTCGCGAGCATTCTCTCAGTCACTTCACTGATTTCCAAGCCATTCGATTTCTGCCTGCTGCAGAACTCGCTTTGCTGTGAGTAATTTATCGTCGTGGGACTGGACTGTAGTGTTTTCTCTTTTTAAGGATATAAACATTGATTCATACCTTTTTGTTTAAAGGGCATCCCGGAAACCGAAAAATTTAATTTATTTCATTTAATTTTATATTTAAATGCATTTATATATACCTTTAAATGTACCTATATCCACTATTGAGCATATAATGAGCATTTTGCGCCTCAGATAATTTACGTAAAGCAATAAAAGAAACTAGTGCAACCGTTTCCTTAAGATCTAGATTCTTAACTTATTTAGGTAACCATAATCAAGAACCACAAAAGGCATACACGTTAACAACGAAATCTGGGTTTGTAGTGTAAAAACACTTGACAAATTCCAGAACTACTTTTCGAATCAGCCGTGGGTTGTATTTTACAACTAGTCAACTGTTCAAAATATTTTGAGCCTTAGCTTTCTTTTTATGAAAGGAAGCATTAAAATCTTATTATTGCATTCCTTATTTAAAAGACTTTTCCTTTGCTGACTGTTCTGTATTATGAAGTGTATATTTTATCTAGTTATCGTAAAGTAATCCCTGGAAGCTGTTTTGAGAAACCTGTACAAAACGGATTCTGTGCATAAGATTCCTAATCTCGTAGATTGTATTTATTATAACACTGTACTACATTTCCATGGGTACTGCTGTAATATAGATAAAGGTCAAGACTTTTAAACATACATATATAAAGAATTAACAAACATAGCTTTAGGCAATGTTTTTATATGATTTTGAATTGTACGCCTGAATTGGAAAACAGCTGCTCTAAATGCTTATAACAGCTGATGCAATCATTGATTCACCATGTCAATAGAAACTTGTGTGTATAAAAGATTACATTTTAGCCATTTCTGCCAGTCCTGAATTGTTTACCAAACACTACACCCGTTAGTTATGCATCGTATTTGGGTCCTGTCTTACCTATCCCTTATTGGTTTGGTATTGGTAAAGACCAGTCCGAATGAAGTTCATTCAGAATCGTTTTTGGGAGATGAATCCGCTCTAAGGTCCAAGTCAAATATAGCTGAGGCTTTGCTGACCAAAACTACAACAACAGCATCAAATTTGTTCTTTAAAGTTATTACAACAACCCGACCACCCGTGACGATCAGACAGGTTGTAACCAAGTCCAAGAGTAAGGACCGTGTAAAAATTCGCTACCTCCGCAAACTCCGCACATATTACAAACATCAGTCTAAAAACAATAAAAAGAGCCGTCGTAGTCCTGCCAAAGCTAATGGAAAACAAGAGCACAGTCCCCACAAGAGCTTACATGACAAAGGACTGCAAGGAAAGGCTGTAGCATTCCCGAAGTCAAATCAAACGGATCCTATATCAGGCGGCAAACAGAAGTCCAATGGAACGATTTTTCTGGAAGCCAAGAGTTTGTCTTTGAAAGAATTAAGTGAGCAGAACTCACTGGCGAGTAAATCATATGCTGATTTACCTAGTGCTTCTTAGTCCCTGGCAGTATATATTTAATGACGTATGCCCTGATAAAAAATAAAGTACTGCAAACATATATTAAAATGTAATAAATTAAACTAGCTAAAAAATATATTGGCAATGTTTTGTTTTATTAAATTAGCTCAGGAGATGAAGAAAATTAAACATATCTTTGGGCATTATATTTTATCATGCAAATACACCTCGAAATGCATTGTTCTAATAGGGATAGCTGTTATGAAATTCGTGGTTTCTTAATAACGGAGCAATATACATTTGCTGTTACATCAAAGTTAAAGAGTTTAAGGGCTAAACATACAAACATACATATTAATATATAAGGTGGCATCACAATAATCTAGTATAAATAGATAAAACAGATAGGCAGACAAACAAACCGAATAAACAATATTTTACAACGTTTACTCAAAATCGTGTTTTGAATCGGTTATAAATTTTCTTTAATTTTACACTAACCGAAATTTTCCCCTGTGCCATTTTCTTTTTAAAGGTTTTGATTGCAAGTCCAAAGTCTCATGCTGAGACTTTGCAGGATTAAAAGCAATTGTTAAGTTCGATAGCCTGCCTCTTGTGTGTTGCCTTTGTATGCACAGCATAGAGGGAGATCTAGCGCACTTTCTTGTGAAGTTGCAGCTGTTAGAGTTCGTGGTTTCGTCAACAAGACTCAACCAGATGGCTTGATAGATACATGGCTGGCAGATACATGGCATGCATTACATTTAAGTTTCAACAACAATCGACAAACTGCTTAAGCCAAAGTCATGACTTAAAAGAGTTATAACAAGTAAGGTACCCGTTAATCAGTTAGTGCGGTAGTCAGCTAGCGATGCAAATAGAAAAGACTTCCAGAGATTGCTCACTAGCGCAACCTGGCGATGGATATATTTATTGCAATTATAATTTGTGAGCTTTTAAGTAAACGTGACCAACATATATTTTTATTATCAATCAAATTGAATAGAAAACCTAAAAAAAATCAATAAGATTCGCTTGAAAATGTTATAAAGTTTTTTGTCCAAGAGTTTCAAATTTCAAATGTCTAGCTTTAAAATATATGGACGTTCATACGGACATTAGAATCAGATCGCACGATTTATTTTTTATATCCCCCTTACTCGTAAAGTACCCTACAATAATTAATAGTATATACCCGTTACTCGTAGAGTAGAAGGGTATACTAGATACGTTGAAAAGTATGTAACAGGCAGAAGGAAACGTTTCCGACCATACATATAAAGTATATATATTTTTGATCAGGATCAATAGCCGAGTTGATCTGGCCGTCTGTCCGTCCGTCTGTCCGTATGAACGCCTCGATCTCAGAACCTACAAAAGTTAAAATGTTGGGATTAAGCATGCAGCTTTCAGACATAGACATAGACTCAGCGCAAGTGTATTTCCAAATGTTGCCACGCCCACTCTAACGCCCACAAACCGCAAAAAACTTTTGAATATATCTTGTAAGTTTTTACAGATATACCAAAATACTTTTTGCCACACCCACTTCTACGTCCACGAACCAGCCAAAACTGTTACGCTCACACTATTGAAAAATGTTGGGATATTTTTTCACTTTTTTATATATCTTGTAATTTTTCTATAGATTTTTATTTTTTTGTTATTATTTTTTATTATTTTATTCCCAATTTCTATCTATATTTCAGAAAATTTTAAAATTTCCCGTTAGCACTTCCACTAACTGAGTAACTGGTATCTGATAGTCGGGGAACTCGTCTATAGCATTCTATCTTGTTTTACTTAAATTGTTGACATTTAAATGGGTATTCGGTACCTAAACAAAATATTATATAATTTGTCAATAAATAGTATATTATTCATAAAAATATGTTTTATTTACATATTAGATTGGCAAATATCTCCATTCCGCCTTTATGAATTTCGCGGCTATGTACAAAGCGCTACAGAGGTCTTGACATAACCTACAAAACGACGCTATGCATGATTAGTTTGGATATTGCGTTCAACAGTTATAGACGTGTAAACATGGAGTTCACTAACGCCGAAATTCGCGCTATTTTAAAGTTTTCCTTCGTTAAAGGCAAATCCGCTAGAGAAACGTTCCGTGAGATTAATGGTGTTTTGGGGGATGGTACTCTATCACTTCGAACCGCGGAGGAATGGTTTCGACGATTCAGAGCCGGTGAAAACGACACCATGGATAAGCCAGCCGGCGGAAGACCTGTGACGACAAATACCGATCAAATCATGGAATACATCGAGTTAGACCGGCATGTGGCATCTCGTGACATCGCCCAGGAGATGGGAGTTAGTCACCAAACCATTTTAAACCATCTGCAGAAGGCTGGATACAAAAAAAAGCTTGATGTTTGGGTGCCGCTTGATTTGACGCAAAAAAACCTTCTGGACCGAATCAACGCCTGCGATATGCTGATGAATCGGAACGAACTCGACCCATTCTTGAAGCGGATGGTGACTGGCGACGAAAAATGGATCACATAGACAATATCAAGCGAAAACGGTCGTGGTCGAAGGCCGGTGAATCGTCCCAAACAGTGGCCAAGCCGGGGATTGACGGTCAGGAAGGTTTTGCTGTGTGTTTGGTGGGATTGGAAGGGAATCATCCACTATGAGCTGCTCCCATATGGCCAGACGCTTAATTCTACCATCTACTGCGAACAACTGGACCGCTTGAAGCAGGCGATCGACCAGAAGCGTCCAGAATTGGCCAACAGGAAGGGTGTAGTGTTCCACCAGGACAACGCCAGACCACACACTTCGTTGATGACTCGTCAGAAGCTACGGGAGCTTTTTAGCTTTTTAGCTTTTTGTCGATCAATGTAATAGAATCGAACATTTTTTGGCTAAATTTTTTCTAGCGAAATCTAATTACAATATATGTAATTATTAAAACTAAACGGAAAGGAAGCTGTTGTATTACAGAAGTGGACGTTTTGTTGTTTCTAAGAATTCGTTCAGCGTTATAAACAAATGATGTATTAGGAATTTAGTATAGGAAATAAGACAATGAAATGACAAATCTCTTTCACAAACATCTTACACTTTTCAACTTTTTTATGACTAATCTAGAAATGTGTGCAACCTTCGTAAATACGGCCAGACAACGAATCGTAAAAGGACTTTAAATAGTATAAAATAAGGTCGCTCTAAAATATTTTATTAACATTTTTAAACGATTTCACATTTTTTATATTCTTAAACATTTCAACAATATTGAGATCTTGTATAGCTTATCCACTTTTTCAACAATTGAGCAGTATGTATAGGTGCATTATCATGTGGAAAATTCTACGAAAATGGCCCAAATATGCTGCAAAATCAATCATTTTCTATAAGTTTTTTTTAAGAAGAAACAAACACACCAACATCTCATCTACAAATAATTTCGAATGAACATCTCTACTAAATACAAAATAAAAACTGTAATAGCAACATGAATAGAGTGAATCAAAAAGGGCGGAAAAAACAGCGCAACAAAGAACATAAAACATAAATCTTTTTCAGCCTACTTAAGTAGGCTGTATCTATTTCAATGTTAAAAAATAAGTAATTTTCATATACGAGGATCATTCAAACATTCGTTTGCATGTTGAAATTCGCACGACAACAATTCAGTAACGTCTCGCGGAAGAGGAAGTCGATTATGTTTTTGAATGCGACTGCCTAAATTTAGAGATTATATTATGGGGTCCGAAATCCTCTGTGAACACATCTGTAAAGTTGGAATTCAACTTTGCTTGAATTTCCAAGTAAGTTCAAGCTAAAATTGCCTTCCGTCCATGCCGGGTAGTTTGCTGCAACCGTATCCAGCTTTCTATTGCATATTTTCCATTTATGAAAGAAATCTACATGAAGTATGCGCGCTTTCTCCCATAAGCTACTTTGCTTAATTTCAAAAATGCTGTCGTCGATATGGCCACAAATAAATTTGAATATTGCATTTAGTTTTTCACGAGCTAGGCATTGTGTGCGCAAATGATATTAAATTGATATTACATATGAACAAATCTGGAATAAAATATATGTTATGCACTAACTTTTTTATCCTTACGTCCCGATATTATTGTTATTTTTTTGGGGCTTAGTACATTTATAGTTTAAACAAATCACACTTACAGAATAAGTCCCCTCCCTAACTACTGGGATGCTTCAAGGGCAGCTGCAACTAACTCCTGAGTGAGGGTCACTATGTAGGACACCTGTTCATCCCTTCACAACAGAAACATCCCCATGCCTTACTAATGAGCAAAGGCCAAAGAACAGCTGACGCTCCGTGAGCCATTGGAGTCACTCTATATTCACTATATATTTACAGTGTTTTTCCGCACGTTGATATGTTTCTTTTGGCCGCTGGCCAGCTGCTGATGTGGTCGTGTTCGAACAGTTCCAAAAATAAACCGCCATCTAATAGAAAAGTCGCCATATATTTCAACGTGTTGTCCAGAACTATATGGGTGTAAGACTGTCGTACCACGGTATAAATTAAAGGAAATGAAGCTGGCTTCGGCAAGCCGAATCTTGTATACCCTAGAAGTACTTATATGTATATAAAAAAACAAACAAAAGCACATCTTAAAAAGGTACAAAATTACTGACGACCGCACAATCAGCATATAAAAATGAAATAATATCAACTTTTGTGACGAAAAATGATTTTACTTGACTTAACTTAATATGACTTAACTTAACTTAATTGACTTTTAATTAAAACAAAGATTATAGAAGATAATATAAGAAATGTAGATGTTAATATGTAGAAAGACTTAACCAAAATGTTTTAAATAAATAAATCTAGGGAATCTAAAAATGTTGGATATAAAAAAAAAATTTAGGTTCAAAAAATCTACCTCGATGCTGGTTTTGTTATTTTTAATCTGTTATTTAGTTGTTTAACAGCATAAAAAGCATTTTGAAATTGCAAAGACATTAATCAAAATGTACTCATTTAAAGTAGCTCATTCTTAAAACTAAAACTATATGTCAAGCTATTTCGCATAATGTAAACGCTTTCTTGCTTCTTAAATAGCGTTTGGATACCCTCAAACAAAAATGCATTGCCCAAAAAGGACAGTTGCTCTGATTTTGTTGCTTGATAACTTCCAAACGTAAGGAAATTCGCACAGTCTTAAATAAAAAAAAGTTTTAATAGTCGAGTTCAAAAATAGATCATTTTTAGATATTCCTTTTCAACGACGTTAATCATAAGTTAATAGGAGTATTACACGTTGTATGTTGCAGTCCCACGTGTATTTTGTATTTGTGTAATGTGTATTTTGTTAAGTTAAGTTAAGATAGTATAAAAACTGAAACTAGTTCCGTAAAAAGCGTACAAATACTAACATCAAACTAATAAAACCTCTGTAAGAATGTTATAAATACAAATATGCATACATTACACTTATATGTACATATGTATGTATATGTATTTATGTGCTCCGCAATTGTGGATTCCATAGGTATAAACAAATTTTGTGAGAGTAAAAGCGTTCAAGGAAGCCTTTTTCGTAAATCAAATTATGTGTCATTTTTAATATTAAAATAAAATAACAATTTTTTAAATAAAACATAATTTATGTGATTTATTTGTTTACACATAGATTAGGCGGGGCCTAAACTTGACATAAAGTCGCACTGAAAAGGCGTTATTTTAAACTGTTGTTGTAAATCTGGTAGAAGCCCTAATCTTTGCGTCAGCTATCCGTATAGCTATATCGGCCAGATATTTTGCTCATTTGTATACGCACCTTATGAGCAAAAACAAGGGAGAATCTATAGTCGAGTTCCCCGACTACCAGATACCCGTTACTCAGGTAGTAGAAGTCCGAATGAGAAAATTTAATTGTATCTGGAATATCGGTAGAATTATCGGGGAAAAAATTAGTAAAAAAAAAATTGTTTAATTTTCAAGATATATGTACATATAAAAAATTGAAAAAATATCGCAAATCTTTTTAAACGCGTGGGCGTGGCACTTTTGTGCTGTTTGTGCTCGTTAGAGTGGGCGTGGCATTTCGAAGCAAACTTGAGCTGCGTCTATATCTCTGGAAGCTGCACGCCTAATCTCAACGTTCTAGCTTTTGTAGTTCCTTAGATCGAGGCGTTCATACGGACAGACGGACATGGCCAGATCGGCTCCGCTATTGATCCTGATCAAGAATATTTATACTTTATATGGTCTGAAGAGCTTCCTTCTGTCTGATAAATACTTTACAACGAATCGTAGTATTCGAGTAGTATTCTACGAGTAACGGGTCCCTTGCTTATTACGAAAGATCGATGTACAACTTGTAAGCTCCTGTACTTGCAATAATTTGCAATGCTCATCCTTTAACACTTATTTTAAAGTTATATCTCGTCGATATACTAAGAAAACCATCCAAACCTTTATTGAAAATGCTTTTAGTCTCACCCAACTCACGCAATTCACATGGTAACCTAACTACATATGGGTACAGAGTCGTGGGAATTGGCAACTACATAATTAGCGTCGAGTTCACAGCCGTGAAGACGTCCGTTAAACCCGGCTAGCATGTGGCTGGCGCATTTGTCCCAAACACTTGTTTAAAACACCAGCAGCTGCAAGGAACGCCGACGCCAATTTAGGGGTTGTTTCCCTTCCTCGTAGCCGGTTCTCTTAGCCATTTGGCTCTTTGGCGTTGGCTGTCTTGTCGCCTTCAAGTTTGTTTCAGTTTCAGTTTGACCGTCGAATGCAGAGAACGTCGGGACAACGCTCTTGCTATAGCCATTCGACATCGGTCCGCTAAAAGAAACGGCCTGAAGCCATAAAAAAGCGCGTGTGAACGAGAGGCCAACGAAATATTCATAGCATGAGTGAACACAGTGAGCGCTTTAAATAGAAAACGCGAAATAGTCAACTCGAATGGAACGTGAGTGTAGGGAATAAGTGCTGGGAAAATCGCCGTCTAGATTATAGCAAAATTGCCATAATAACCACTTGTGAGCAAATGTGAAGCAATGTAAAGAGCAAAAGAAAATATAAAAATTATTCTTCTTCTCAACCAACGTGAAAGTGAATTCAACAAGGTTAACTTAAACAGCGCAGAGGAGGGAAAATCAAAGGCCTGATCAATAATAAAACGGTATAAACGTGGCCTAAATATTATAATCATATCCTTGAAACTATACATAGGTGATGTGCTGCAACAAGTAAACCCGCAAACACAAGTTTTAGTTTATCTTGAATAATTTGTTCGAGGAATAATATTGAACAGCTCTCAGGCATTTTTAAATAGGCAAGCGCTCAAATATTGGTCGGAAAAACAAAATACCTATCTATGTATTTATATATTAGTGTGCAAATACAGGGGAGCTTTTGTACACAAATATAGAAATTTTCGTACACTGAGTGTACGCGCAGAAATACATATGTACACATATACATATACAGCAGAGCCGGCAGAACAGAGTCGGGCCAAAAGAAATTATATCATTGCCCGAATCCGCTTTTAGAAATAGTTTGCAATGAATTTCCGTTGCTTTATAGTGCCGTTGTATAAATGCATATATATATTATCTTTACGTATATATTAAACAACATACATATGTATGTATGTACATATGGAAGAAACCACGCACACATGGGGTCGAAGTAAAAAACACTATAACTATATTTTTAAAACTTGCGGGCTATTAAGGTCACCCATGTTTTTTAAGCCTTACCAAGAACCTTTTTTTTCCTATTATCAAGTCTAGCAACGATTTCAATTAGTTGAAGCTATTTGTCTAATCCACAATGTCTACGTTTTGCATTATCAAAATCTATTTCGTACGCTGAAATATTATATTTGGGGGAAACAATTAGCTTTAATCTAATTAAAGTTAAAGACAATCGTTTCGATAACAGAATAAATACTTTTCAAGAATGAGTTTAACATGTCTGTAATACCCATATACATAAGTTCTATTTTCAGTAAAAGTACAATAAAAGCAGTCAAAAAACGAAAACAACTTAGTTAGCCATTTCTTCGCTTTTTACATTTCCTCCTTAAAGTAGGGGCTCGCGAAAATATCTGATGAACAATCAGAAACAATTAATATAAATATAATATAATAATATACATTTTTATTTCTATTTATTTTAATATTAAGTGAAATAATTTTGATATCCTTATCATAGATACAAATAGGCGCCGAAAATTAGAGATATGTTATTCTGATCTGTTAATAAACTGCCTAATTTAAATGATATATATTATAAACATATGGAAACGTCTGTTTTGATTAACCTCAAATTTCTGTTAGAGAATCCATATGCATGCTTTAAACGATCGGTAATGTTTTCTTTACAACAATACAAGCATCTGGTCAAAATTTGAATATATTGAATACGTTGTGCTTTTAATACCTTTGCAAATTAAAACAAGATAGAATGCTAAAGTCGAGTTCCCCAACTATCAGATACCCGTTACTCAGCTAGTGAAAGTGCAAACGAGAAATTTCAAAATATTCTGAAATATCGGTAAAAAGTGGGGAATAAATAATAAAATGAAAAAAAAAAAACAAAAAAAATTTAAAATGTGAGCGTAAGAGTTTTGGGCGGTTTGTGGGCGTTAGAGCGGGCGTGGAAAAAAGTTTTTTGATAAGATAAGATAAGATATATAAAAACGTGAAAAAATATCAAAACATATTTCAAAAGTATGGGCGTGGCAAGTTTGTGGGCGTAGAGTAGGCGTGGAAAATATTTTTTTGGAAATCGATAGAAATTTACAAGACTAATAGAAAAGTGAAAACTATCCAAACATTTTTCAAAAGTAGAAACATCATTTAACAAACTTGCTCTGCAACTCAAATCTCAAAAATCTAGCTTTTGTAGTTCCTGAGATCGAGGCGTTCATACGGACAGACGGACGGACATGGCCGGATCGACTCGGCTATTGATCCTGATCAAGAATATATAGGTATAAAAATCATATCCTCCCCTTATTTAAAACAAGTGAGGACGCTTAGTGAAGTTCCTCGACTATCAGATACCCGTTTTTTAGGTAGTGGGGAAAACGAGAATATTTAACATTCTTTTTTGGCACAAAAAAAAATAATAAAATACAACATAAAATTTAAAAGTGTATGGTTGGCTGTTTTTCGGGTCTTAGAGTGGATGTGTTCAAAATGTTTATGGCATATCAATAAAGTTTGGCGTAAATTGGGCGTGACGGTTTTATTTTATATTTTTTGCATATTAATAGCAACACAAAACGAAAAAAAACAAATTTTTAAAGTGTTTGGGCGTGACAGTTGTGGGCGTTGGAGTAGGCGTGACTAGAATCTGCATACCTAATTTAAATTTTCTAGTTTTGATAGATTGACGGCCGGACAGACGGACATGGTCACAATACTATATTTTTACTATATGGCGTCAAAAACTCTTCCTTTTACCTATTACATACTTTTCAACGAGTCTAGTATAGTGTATAGAGGGAATGCTATAGTCGAGTCTCTCGACTATCAGATACCTTGATACCTACTCAGATAAAGGGAATGCGAAATAGATGGAGATATTTTAGTTCGAAAGAAACTGTTTCCTAGATTAGCAAGGAGCACCACACAGCTGCGGTTACATTTAATACTTTAGACTTAAAATATAATTCGACAACAATCTTGTGAAGTAATTCAGTTAGAATGTTTACTAAAAATGTTTACTCCCAAAAAAGACACCATGTCTCTATCGGGAACTTGGATTTGTGGACGTAAAATATATTTGGCATGTATTTAGAAAAAAGAACATACAAATGACGGAATATTTTTTTAAAGTTTAGGAGTGGCAATTGTCTGAATGAATCTTGCGCTTTATAATTCGTTAAATTCGCGTGGACTCAACTTTACAGTTTTTATAGTTTCCGAAATCTCGAGTTAATAGTATGAAATTCATACGGACACACAGATTACGGGAACGGGATTAATTTTACACTATCTATTTTTACATACTATTTATCTATCTATCTAACAGTCGTGGTACGCGAAAATATTCTTATTTTTAAAATTAAACGAATAATAAACGAATATTATATATTATTATATTATTAATATAATATAAACGAATATTATATATTATATAGCAACCAAATACTACTACTCACACCATATTTTCTTCCATTTTTTTCAGAATTTAAAAAATGTATTCTTATTATTTATGATAATCTAAAATAATCATTTAAGATAATCAACCATATAAATTTTTGAAGTGCAGTTAAATTTGGATATAATGAAATAAAGAAATGATGACTGACAACGGTCATGTATAAAATTGAAAAGTGATTTTGGTGCACCGAATCAGTACTCGAAAAACTGCAACGATAGTTGTATGTGCCTAGCGAGGCTACATACAATATTAAAGTTTTAAAAAATCGTCAGATAAAATTATCTTGTAAACTGAGCTAACAAGATGGGAAATATGGCGCTAAGACGATCAGGAAAGGCTGTTCCCAAGTCGAATCAATTGGCAGAGAACAGTCCAATACCGCTTTCGCTGGTACTGCTGCTTTTCTTTGCGCTAGTTGATAGCACTAGTGCACAAGTTGGTAAGTCTATAAGATTATTAATATAGAAACACAATAATAAACAAAAGAGTACACTAATGTGGAGTTCCTGATGAATCGGCTATTTATGATAGAAAATATAGATCTAGAATACATTTACTTAACACAGGCGGAAAAGCTTCCTTTTACCTTTTTACATTCTTTTCAGAAAATCTAGATTATCCCTTTACTTTTCGAGTAATAGGTATAACAAGAACGAAAGCTAGCTTCGGCAGCATTCGGCATAATTTACCTCTCAGTAATTATTCGGAGTTCCACAGCAGATTTTTATTTTTTCCTGTACATAATAGTCGCCTTCGCACGCTCTCCTATGCACTTTGTCACTGATGAGACTGCCGTATACATTGACTACCATATGCATTGACTACCGTATACATTGACTACCGTATACATTGACTTCATACGGACGGACAGACATGGCGATCGACTCGTCTGTTGATCGTGACTGAGAATATATACTCGTATACTTATAGGGTCGCAATTGGAACGAATCTAATATACCCATATTGTAGTATATGTAACGGGTATAAATACGGGTATAGGGTATGCATAAATAAAACACAACTATGATTTCTTTTCCAGTATTTTCAATTGATGTCCTATGGCAACTTCATAAACTTATCTATTTTTATGAATATCTCAATTTAAATTTATCTTTCCATTTCCGAAATTAAATTATATAATTTTATTGTCGAAAAACTGACGTACAAAGGCTTTTTGCTCATTATGATTCCCTGCAATGGAAAAATACATTTGGGAAACACAGCAGAAAAACTATGAAAGCCAGATCGAGTCGGTTGTTGATACTTATTAAGGATATATGTTTGTATATATGTACTTTACTGTACTTTACTGGTTACAAATACCTCCTTTTTGCGTTATGAGCTTCTGACTAAATTCATAATATAATACCATTTGCAGGGGTATACAGTTTGTGGCTAAAATAGTACAAACATAAATATTCAATGAAATATTTTCAGTTTTATTTAAAAAGTACATTTGGCAAACTTTTAAAACATGGTTTTATTCAAGGGCTACTGGGTTAAGACAAGTTTTGTATCATTTAGGCGAAGTCAAAATTTTTACATTGAAGCTATTAAGCTTATGAAATATTTTCAAATTTTAAGTAAATTGAAATTTTAATGCTGTCCAAATACCAGCGCCAAGCACTGTATACCTTACATTATTTCCAGTTTCTCTTCACTGCTTTTCTTCGCATTCATGGGAAGCGCATTTGTGGAATGCTTACAACATTTGAATACAGTATTTTCCCACATTTGAGAAGACGCGCACCCTAGAACACCATGGTTGGTTGCATGAGAAAAAGAAATTTTTTGAAAGTCGCAAATGGAAGTATGGGAAGTCTTTTTCTTCGCGAAATGCAATCGCTTTGAGGTCCCTTCAAAATTTTATATCGTTAAAAAAGTGCAAAAGAAGAAAACTTGATGTGATGGTTAGATAAAAGAAGCGGTACATCGATCAAGTGTTATCATTAAATCGACGACTTAACTATAACGACGGCCATAACTATTAGTATTTACCTTTACTGCGGTATTTTAAAATTTCGCGGTGAATAAAACACGCTTGATTTGATGGAATCTTATGTTCAGCTTAAAAGACACTGAAAAAATCAAGATTTAAACGCACTTTTCATAAAAAAAAATTTGTTGTTCATTTGTTTGCGTTAAGAGCACCGGAGTCCTTTTTGTTGTTACAATTTAAAACAATTACAATTAAAAATTACAATTTAAAATGGAAAATGCTAAAAAGGATAATTAAAATGTTTAATTTAAATTACTGTAAAAAGTCGTATGTTTGAAGCCTCTTTAACTTTTTCCATACGGTTTACGCATATGGTTTTCTCAAGTAGCAAAAGCGACAATTTTTCGACAATTCAAAAGGAAGAAGTAATGAATACTCGCGTTTCACTATTAGTTACTGCTTATTACTGCTTAAAGAAACAGCATAAAAATTAATGTTGGATTTTTATTTTAATTTTAGCCCTGAAAAGTAGTTTTGATGCTGCTAGATGTACAAAGTTGCTCCAGCTCATTAGTTCGAATAGCTTAATGGTGGAATTTAGTTATGAAATCAGGCAGTCCGATGGGAATGTGACAATAATGCGTCAGACAGCGTCGCGATACGGAAATATCTATGCTTCTCACTCATAGAGTAAAAGTGTATACAAGATTCGTTGACAAGTGTGTAACGTTGATGCGTTTCCGACCGTATTTATTCTTAAAATCACAAGATTAAGCATTCAAAAAATGTCAAAAAAAACTCCCCAAGCTTCTAAAAAATGTTTTTGGATTTTTTTTGCTCATTCTATTATTTGACAATTTCTATCGATTTACAAAAGTTATGATATTTTCAACCGACATTCCAAAAAAAAAGTATTAGATTCTTCCTCGTACTCCCTCGTAAAAGGTGTTTTTGTGCGGTCTTAAATATTCTAGACGCTCATTTAAGTTCGGTTGGCTTTTATGCTAGATGTATAGGTCTGTAAAATAAAGATATCAGTTTTATTCCTTTTATTCCTTTTATTTGACTTATTCCCTTTTTTTCGAGGAAAAGTCAGATGAATTAAAATGTTCAAAATTATTGACGTCATACAATCTTCATAAGGACCACTAGCTATATCTAGCCATATACGTCTGTGAACGTCAAGGTCTCGAAAGCTTAAGATTTTTTTCATACACATTTTTAAGTTCACTCTAATGCCCACAGCCTCCCAACCAAAATATTTTAGCCACGCCCCTTCTAACGACCACAAGCCGATCAAAACTGTCACACCCACACTATTAAATATGTTTGGGTACTATGTTTTATTTTATATATTTATGTGCCAATTTCTATCGACTTACCAAAAAAATTTATAATTTCATGTTTGCAATTCCACTAGCTAAGTCGATAGCCGAGAAACTCATCTATAGTGTTCTCTCTTGTTTTATATATTTTTTTTAATTGCCAATTTAGAAAATAATATTTTAAAACATTTGTGTATCCTTTCCCTCAGCAAATTGTTGTTTATTACCTTTATGCGAAGTTTAATTCTCAGGCAGAGTTTGTTGTTCTCCTCTTATAAAAGTTTAATTTTACATATTTATATATTTATATTTATATATTTTTAAATTTGTAAAATTTTACGTTCTTAAAAAAAAGAATACCCGGTAATAAAAATGATCCTAGGTATTACCCGCCGCCAAAAGACTGCTATTAATACCCGTTACGTGTAGAGTAAAAGGGTATACTAGATTCGTTAAAAAGTATGTAGCAGGCAGAAGGTAGTGTTTCCGACCACAAAAGTGTATATGTATATTCTTGATCATTATCTATAGCCAATCTGGCCATGTCCGTCCGTCCTTATGAATGTCGAGTTTTCAGGAACTTTAGAAGCCAGAGACATAGGCGCAGCGCAAGTTTGGTAAATGATGTTGGCACGCCCACAAACCGCCCAAAACTATCACGGCCACACTTTTTAAAAACGTGATGTTTTTTCATTTTTTATTAGTCTTGTAAATTTTCATCGCTCTTGCCAAATACCACGCCCACAATAGAGAAATTTCTCGTTCGCAATTCCTTCCGGGTATCTGATTCTATCTTATTTAAGCACGCAGCTCGATATAAGAAAATTGTGTTCCACCACCTTTCGAAAAAACACTCTAGCTTAGTTATTAGCTCGTTAGTTATTAATCTAATTGATCTAGTAATTAATCTAATACACATACTTTCCCGAATTCAAAACAATTAACCATTTTGCACCAGTTGTATTATCGCTCCTCTATTTTTCTCGTGAACCAAATGATTAGTGTTTTGATCTTGAATACATACATAATACTTCATCAAATCGGACTACTAATTGACACTATCTTCGTCCAAAAAAAATAATAACTCGTACTAATAAGAAACAAGCAAGATATCGAAATTCTCGCCTATCAGATTCCCGTTACTCATCCAGTGCGAGTGTAAACAAGAATTTTGCAATTTTTTTTGTCATATCAATATAAAATGGCAAAAAAGTGTCGTGACATTGTCGTGCTTGTGGGTGTTAGAATGGACGTAAGCAAAATGTTTTTGGTATGCCGATTGAAATTGGCAAGTTCAAATGGAAATTGTTTGAAATGGAAGGTCGTACAGCTTTGGGCGGTTTGTGGGCGTTAGAAAAGGTAGCAAAAAAATAATAAAATGAAAAAAACTTGTGTTTTGGAAAATCTTAAGAAATTTACCAGATATATAAAAAAGTGAAAAAATATCACAACATTTTTCCAAAGTGTGGGCGTGACAGTTTTGGGCGGTTTGTGGGTGTTGGAGTGGGCAGTGCAATATTTGGAACAAACTTATGCTGCGTCTATGTCTCTAAAAGCTGCATGCTTAATCTCAGCATTCTAGCTCTTGTAGTTCCTGAGATCTAGATCGATTCATACGGACAAGCGGACGGACAGACGGACATGGCCAGATCGACTCGGCTATTGATCATGATCAATAATATATATATGTATATATATATATATATACTTCTACCTGTTACACACTTTTCAACGAATCTAGTTACTCTACGAGGAACGGGTATAATAACACAAATAAGTGGTTATACTATATGTGAAAGACATATGGACGTGTTATCGAAATATTTTAAACTAACAGTGGAAAATTATTTGCTTTTTTAAAACTACTCAAGAGAAAACATCTCTTAAAGAGATGAAAATGTAGTGACGATTGTACCTTTCTGAAATCTTTTGAAGCTAAGAATGATTTTACAACCACATAAATAGACAATTGTATGTTATAGATGCTAAATATTTTGAAATTTTATATTAATTATATTGATTTTACATTATTATTAATTATTTTGTTAACAGTTTATTTATTTTATTATGCAAAGAGTTCAATCCTATTTATAAGTGCCACCCATTTTTTAGGTATTTAAAGTAAAGACAAGTATTTCTTGTGAGGGCATGTTACTGTCAAAGATATAATATTGTTTTCCTTTTTTTTTTAGATACTACCATTAGTCAGCAAGAAAGTCATTCAGTTGTTCTACCGTGCCCCGTCAATGCAGAAAAGTGCGGAAAACTCCATTCGCTAAATTGGTTTAAGGGCGATGAACGCATTGCTGCAATGCTTCTTGGAGATAGTAACGTCACGAGTGTTAATAAAGAGTTTGACGAAAGGTAAAAAATATAACAACGTTAGCTTTATGTTAAACTTGTTTAATCTTTTCTAGAGTAACTGTGGAGCAAAACCCATACAGACTAGTAATTAAGGACTTAAAAATATCTGATGAAGATATTTATCTATGTGATACTACATTTTTTATACCAGAGGAAACTTGTGATAACTTCAATGGATATCGAATAGAATTGAGAGTGCTAGGTAAATAAACCAACTATTAAATATATAACGAAATGTATTATTAGAATAAACAAACTGCATGGCAAATGGGCTTTTTGATAATTTTCACTTTATGTTACATGTATGTATTGAGTTAACCTGCAGTACCGCTTATCGCCATTTCGTCGAAATATTCCCGAGTTATTTAATCAACTGTGATGATTTTAAAATAGGCATGTCCGACGAATCATCTTGGCGACAAATCTACAAGTAAACATCAGCTAATTCAATAGAAACCATAATTTTCTCTTTAAATATATTTAAAAAGGGAGAAAGTGTTCAATAGAGAGAGTCGGTGAAATTTCATAGTTTGCTCTGCCCGTGCAGATTTTCAGCAGTGATAAGTTGTGAAACGCAGAGTAGCTTAAATTTACAGGGCTTTTTTCTGTCTATCAACTTATTTTATACTCACCTGCATAGAAAAATCAACGTACTATGTTTAAGATATTAATCTTTTAGATTCAAAAAGTTTAATTTTCAAGAGCTAGGGATAGGGATTATGAGCCATCATTTACTAAATAGAAATCTTAAAACTACATAAATCAAATTTTGGAACTAACTATCAATTCGTCATCCCACGCGAAAAATTCCAATACCGAATCATACTTTTAAGTTCTTTAAAGCAGAATCCGTTAATTACCGATTTTTGAGAGCCTGATAAAATTTGAAGCACAAATATACTTCGTGTAATCTTCTTTTTTAACATGCTCTTGTTTTGAGTATTTATATCTAGTATATATAGTTTGAGATGTCATCAAATCCCAACAGCTGAGACAATTATTAAAGAATTCAAGATATTCACTTTAAAACTTACATTTCTCACATTCCCTTTAGCTGCATAAGGGGTACATGATAGTCGCTTTTTATTATAGCAAAGCACAGAACATAGAGTTAGAAACAGCACCTTTAAGAACGTTAGTGCTATACTCAGCACCTAAACTGATTGGTATAAGCGTTTCCATTTACCTAACGTTTCCATTTACTTAAAGAATATATTACCTGACACTTATCTTGAGTATACTTTTAATTTTCTTGTGATAGCTGTATGGTTAAAAACTGACTTTTCTTTCCTTTCGCTTAATAGTTGCCACCCTACCTTTCCATTTCTCTACTTTTAACCATTATCTTTCTCTTTCTCTCATTTAAAACAACATATGCGTCAAAACTCATAATCATATCATATAAAACACCATTAAAAAAAAACGAAAACTGTTTAAAACCAACCGTCCACATCGACATGGAAAATAATAATACGCACGACTATACGTATGACCCTCTACAAAATAATAAAAACAAAACAAAATTGTTCTAAATCACCAACGAAAATCTTATCATCTACGACCGCAATAATAAAAAAAAACGTCACGTTCTACATCGTTAAAATTTATTGAATATTATTATATTTGCAATTACCCAAATCCTATATTCGCACGCCATAAAAATTCTGATTTAAACATTTTTATTTATTATTTATTTTATTATTATATCTGCGCGATAAAAACATAGAAAACATTGGTAAAAAAAAACATTAATAACTTAAATATATATTGTGTTTTAGCTATAAGACCTAAGTAGGAAAATAACCCCATTAATCAAATTAAAAAAAAGTTCGATAAAATAAAAAATATTTTATTTGCTTTGTTTGTGGATTTCTTTTAAATTAATTGTTTTAAAAAATATAAGTTCTTAAGTGTTATTTACCCATGAAATTAATAATTTTAAATACCATTATTCATTCATTTATATTTAAGTTTAAAGGATAGTTTTATTTTATTATATAACATACATGATTTATTTAAAATCGCATTTAAACATGTTTATCCATTTAAAATATTACGGCATTCACACACAAACATCACAAATACGCCACCAATTTGTCTATTTTGGAAAATAAACACACGTATTCAGTGCCACCCACTGAGGTTGTTATCTTGGATGCAAAAGGAGATCGAATCGAGAACGGCAGTGTAGTGGGACCCATGCAGGAACGTCAGTCCCTCAAAGCTACATGTACTGTAAGGAACACCCGACCTCAACCTGAAGTGAGCTGGTTTCGTGGAACAAAGCGACTAACAACTTGTGAGTATTATATTTTTACACGTTACTCATTAAGATCCGTTAAAAAACTATAACCTAGAGTAGATGAATGAATATGAATATGATTACAATACACAAATTCCGAATCAAGTCACGAAAAAAGGACCAGAGGCATGAATTTCTTAGTGTCAGCTATCTGATTTCAAATTTAAATTTGAAATTGTTCGTTACTCAAAATATTTAAAAAAAAAATTGTAATAAACTTATATGCAACGTAATATGGAATTAAAATCTTTGGGAAAGTTGAAAGAAAACAGTAATATCGTTTTGTTGCTAAACGATTCCGGGGTTTCCCATGTTTTAAATCTATTAAAATGGAATGATTACACCAATTATCTTCCAAAGGAACGATCCTAATAATAAGAAAATCGACACTAATTTATTTTTTTTCACTATAATCTCATTTTTCATGATAAATCTTCTGAAACAGGATCGCTAGGCAAGCTATTAAGACATCCATAAGACAATCCATTTGTACATCTGTACGCCCTTATGTAAAAACATTAGGATTCCGGAAAGTAATGATAGCTAAAGTGTTGGATCTCCACATAAAAATGTTGGTAGCGCTTACACAGGCAAGTTGAGTTCCAAACTTTTCCGCGCCCACTTCAACGGCCACAAACTGACAATTAGTATCGAGTCTAGGACTAGTTTATGACCTAATCATATATATATATTATATCAAGCGTAGCTAAAGTCCGTATTTTTGTTAAAATCACCCCTTTCAATAGAATATTATATAAATATCTTTTTTCCTTTTTCTTATTTACTTGAAAATATGTTGAGTAAAAGTAATCTTACAGCTACAGCATTCGAATGTGCCAATTAAAAGTTTACTTAGAGTCCCTCTACCTCGATGGACTGTTAGGTGCCGACAGCCTAATAGATTCACTTGTGTTTAATTTTACTTTTCTTTAGCAGAACACCATATATTTATGCCTTCTTTTTGATTTTTTTAGATTCCCCCACTCACGACTTAATCGATGGTCTTTATACGTCAACACTAGAGTTGGATTGGCAGTTGTCCCGTGAAGATCTTGCTCAGGATATTGAGTGTCGTGTGAAATCTGCAGCCATACAAAATGTTACTGTAACTAAGTTTAGCGTGGATTTACAAGGTACTTTAAAAATCAATAAAAAGTTCAACACCATTTCTTGGAATATGGAATAGGAATAATATTTTGGTAATAATATTTGTAACAAAATTTGTATTCTTTTTTATTCAACAGTTCGGCCAACTAGTATTAATATTAATGGGGTAAAACATCACACAGTACAAGGCAGCAAAGTGGTTTTAACATGTGACGTAAGTTTTAAAAATTACTAAGATCGTATACAAGGCTTTATAATTACCCGAAGAATAGATCGAAATGGTTTAAAAAAAATGCAGAACAAGCAATTGGTGGTTTTGGCGACTTTATAATTATTTACTGGAAGTGACGTCATTGACATTGCTAGTCAATACACACTTCAACTTTAATTAATAATCCGGCCTTAAATTTCAATAAAAATAAACTAAAACCAAACTTGTTTAAATGCGGGCGTGAAAGTTACATATGTTCCGTTTCGGGTGCGTATGCATTACTAGAATCTGCATGCTGCGTACCAGCTAATTCATACATTCATAAACTCGATCTTAATACGGACGGACAAACAAAAGACAAACAGATATTCGGTTTTACTTATCTACTTACTTAGATGGAGGTCCTGCACCTTCGAATTGCTTCTTATAAATCTCCCTCACACTCACTTTAATGTATTTATAGCCCCAATGATCAATTTAGTTCTGTTACCTTGGAACGAACTTAATGCACTAAGCAATGGACCACAAATACTTGCTGCAGATTCTAATGACTAGATTGCCACGCCCCCAATCGCCCCAAACTGCCACGCAAAAAATTTGTAAAAATAGTGTATTTTGTTTTGTTTTTACTTTTTTTTAGCCACCCTACTCTCTTTCGACTCTACTTTTCTTGACTATATCGATACCTTTTGATTTATTTAGTTTGTCTCTATGTCTTACTTTTAAACGTTTAAGAACATCAAAAGTAATTGGTTAACAATGTACAAATCTTTATACTTTTAATAGATCCGCGGGGCTCGACCAGCAGTAAATCTTACTTGGTATAACACAACTACCATAATAAGTTCAGACGAAAACGAACTAACTGAAATTCGCACTAAAGCGGTAAAAATTTACAATTTACCTTTAAATAGTTACTTCAGCAATGTTTTTTTCATAGCTTGAAAAAAGTGATGGCACCTTTCACACTCAATCCGAACTTATTTTCAATGCCACTCGATTTGAAAATGATCACGTTTTTCGTTGTGAAGCTGAAAATATTGTTTTGCAAATTAATCGCGAAAAACCAATTTCATCTGCCCTCACGTTGGAAGTCTTATGTAAGTATATAAATTTAAACTTTATATTTAAAGATTTATATATTATGTATAAGATATATATAAATTCTTACTTTCACGCCTATACTAGATCATTGGACTAATTATTTTTCTCATTTGTATTTGACATAATATTTATTTCTTCTACATCAGATCCCCCCGTAGTCAAAGTCAGTCCATCTGATATAATTGCCAATACAAGTGAAATTGTTCTACTTAACTGTGAATACGTTGCAAACCCTGCTTCACTAACTAAAGTTGAATGGTAAGTAATATAAAACGTGAATTTAGCATATTATAATATATATCTGTATAAGATCTATATCTCGGAATATATTAGTTTGGCAAATATCTCCCTTCCACCTTTTTGTCTTTTGAATTTCGCGGCTATGTACAAAGCGCTACAGAGCTCGTATCTGGCAATACTTGAACTAACTTGAACATATTTGAACTAAATCCGATCACTGTAACACTTTTTATAAAGCATTGAATAAAGAGCAAAAAAGCGGAAGGGAGATATTTGTCAACCTATTATATATAATATATATATATAAGACCGTATCTAAGATCTCAGAGACTGTAATTGCTAGCAGATTGCCGTAAAAACTTAGTAGCTAAGGGTTACAGTAAACTCGTTTAAAATTAAATAATTATTTTAATTTTAATTAAACTGTTTGCACACCATTTGACCTTCAAAAGGCTTATTGCCAATATACTCCGCGGCATCGATTTTGTTTACTATTGATTTGTCCTCATTATGTTAAACATGCCCGAGGAACCAGAAGATAATCTTCGAGCCGAAGATTCTTTCCAAGAATGGATTTTGCATCAACCTAGGCAAGTGTGAGCTGGCCCAAGCAGAGGTTTTTTTCTTAGCTTGTTGTTAATGAGCACGCAATAATTCAGCCGGTGGGCAGCATACAAAACTATACAAGACCTTCCACCTCAAACGATTTCCGAACTCAAATGATTCTCGCATTATTACCTATTGTGGAAAATGCCTGACCCATGATGTTCGTCCCATATCCTGGCACCCCTTCCAGCCGAAGACACCCGATGATCATTGGCAGTCAATTGCTCCTTTTTTTTTTTAACTAATGAATTACTCCCTATTTATGAGGCCATCAAGTATTTCAAGCACTGCCTCAAGGGTCGAGTATTTTGCATCAAAAGGAATCCTAAACCGCTCGTGTATGCTTATAGACAACGGCCAAGGCAACTTCATCATCTTGGATACATCTCGCAGTTTACGACCGAAAACATACTTGCAAAAGGATCTGATTATGTAGTAGTGGATTCAGTTTCCAGGCTATGTGCAATCACCATGCCTACGTCTGTCAGTTTAAAGTAACTCGAGGATGCACAGGCATCTGATTACGAGCTTTCACCTCCACTGCAAGGAACTACTTTGCTTAAACTACAACGAATCCGCTACGATGACAATGTCGCACATTTCCTCTTTCTTTCACAACCTTTCGCATCGAAGCGGCAGATCGACGCTGCAAAAATCAAGCTGAAATTTGTTTGGCCACAAATAAGGAAAACCACCACTAAGTGGTTGCAGGACCTGCCTTCCATGTGAAAGAGCCAAAATAAGCAGGCATAGTCATGTAACTCCAAAGAAGATCACAGTTACCAACGACATATTCAACCACGTTCATCTTATAATAGTTTCCATGTTATAGATTTACACGTTTTGGAACACCTTAAACAATTACAACAGATCAAGGCAGCCTGTTTGAATATGAGCTATTTAAGGAGCTTGCTGAACTCGCGGGCAATGAACATATTAATACGGCCGCTTATCATTCACAATCAAATGGAATAGTCGAAAGATAGCACACATTATTTAAGGCGATGTGCCACCAAACACATTGACCAGATCTGCCGCCTGCTATCTTGTTGGGACTGCATGTATGTTGGAACCTGTTTAAAGGATGATCTCAAAACTTCAGCTGCAGAGATGTTATACGGAACCATAAAACTTGCCAAATTAATTTTTTGAAGAGATCGACTGCGCACCACGACAAATAAATATGTTGCCTCCTGGTGTTGAATATACAAACTGGACTACAACATATTCCATGGCTCATCACTAATACAATTCACTCGTCAGTCTTTCTCTCTGTTTTAAAGGGCCCAAGCGTCAAAATCTCGGTGTACCTTTTATAAGTAATGTTAACAATAAACATACACTTAACATACATAAATACAGGTTACATCCTGTTACATCCATCCGTGTAATCATAGTGTAATATCACCTGGCGTCATATATATCTTAATGCATTTTTAAGCCTTGTAGAGGGTACGCAGTAAAGAAGACATTTGAGACCATATAACATATATATGTATAATATATAATTGATTAGTATTTACAGGCAGTTTTAAAGCTTTTTGGATAAACCTTTTCCAAAAGTCGTTTCCCAAAAAGCCAGGCCTGATGAGACCACTAAATCATTTGCCAAAGATATATTCGAAAAAAAATTTTAAAAAATTGTAGCTAATTCGATTATGATCATTAAGTTTTCTAATTCCGTACAGACACGTTTTTTGACAATATATGATTTCGGTTTTATATCATATAAAAAAAGTTGTAACTTTATTATTTTCAATTAGTCTGCATTTTAATAGTAGATATTAGAAAAAAAGAAAATTTCGATGTTCTTGATGCTAAAGTGATTTTATAACTGCAAGGGTATATAAATTCCTTTTTATTTTATTTAAGATATTTATAGCGTATTTTTACATTACTTTTCACATGACATGTATGCTTTTTAAATTTCAGGTATCGCAATGATGATCTGGTAAATGTAAATGACACAACTCATTATAAAGGTGGTAATTCGGAAAATGTGGCTCTTGTTATCCAATCTACCGAAAAAGAGGACATTGGAAATTATTCCTGTCAATTGTCAAACAATATTGGCAAAGGAACTTCTGAACATAAAATTAATCTTGACGTGCAATGTAAGATAACCTAGAAATGTGCCCAAATACTTTTAAATATTTTAATATACTTAAAATCTTTATTTCAGATGCTCCAAGTGTCGAGATTCTAATGATACCAGAGGGGCCGGTGAAGGAAAGTGATGAATCAAATGTCACTCTTTTTTGCAACGTGTTGGATGCAAATCCTTCTGTTCTTACCAAAGTAAGGTGGTACGCCAACTCTACACTTCTTAAGGAACTTCCAGACTGCGAAGAATCAAGGGTACGTATTTTGGTTACTTGTGTTTACTGTTAGGTACATAACATTGAAGCCAGCTAGAACTGATCAAAATCAAACAACCATTACGTTGTAAACTCTTGCAGATGAATACTATGTGTAAAGTTTCCTTAACTCTAATATTTATACGCTTTACTCGTAGAGTAAAAGCGTATACTAGATTCCTTGAAAAGTGTGTAACAGGCAGAAGTATATATAATATATTATTGATCAGGATCAATAGCCGAGTCGATCTGGCCATGTCCGTCTGTCCGTCTGTACGTATGAACGCCTCGACATACATCGCCTCGCCCACATACATGCAGGGTAAGTTTGTTTCCAAATTTTGGCACGCCCACTCTAACGTCCATAAACCGCACAAAACTCTCACGGCCACACTTTTAAAAAATGTGATATTTTTGTATCCTTTTATATTTTATATTTTTGTAAATTTCTACAGATTTTCCAAAAAACATTTCGTCACGCCAATTCTAACGCCCACAAACCGCCCAAAACTGTTACGCCCACACTTTAAAAAAATTCTCGTTTGCACTTCCACTAGCTGGTAACTGGTTACTGGAGTAACTGGTACCTGGTAGTCGGGGAACTCGGCTATATCATTCTATCTTGATTCTGTTGTTGTGATTACAAGTAACAAAAATTAATAGTATTTGGTCTATTATTTTTACTTTTAGGAGGACCTGTGTCACATAGACCCAAGTAAGCTCTTGTTGGAGAGTATTGGACGTGGCTTCTTCTACAATTATTCCTGTGAGGGATTCAATGCTGCTGGCTGGGGTCCACGAAGCGAAGATAGAGAGCTGTTGGTCGGTTAAGCTGCTTTAAGCAAAGGCATTCAAAATTCACGTTTTTGCTTAAAATGTACGTTTCTTATAGGTACATTACGAGCCCGGTCCTGCGGCATTATCTCATTTTCCGTTAGTCGCCGTTAAGAAAAAGAGTGTGACATTCTCCTGTTCTGTAGATGATCCAGGATTTCCAGAATCAAATAGGTTTGTAGCACAAAAGGCCAACCAGAATCGCGAAAAGAAAAAAAAACCCCAACACGCTCCGCTTATTGATTTTCATACCGTCCAAGCATTGCAGCCGCAGGAGGCCGACATTGCTTTTGAAGCGATGCTGCTACATAAACACCAAAATCCCCTCCAGTCCAATGATCCGACTCAAACATCATTAGGAACACCACAAGAAAGCGCATCTCATCCAGCACATGAAATCAAAGAGACTCATGCTTTAATTGATTTACATTTAAACCATTCCCTTTGTACATTAATCACGCTCACCACCTACATGCCACAATCACAATTATTAACTCTATACACGGGGGTACAACCAAGAAACGACGCCTCCGCACCGTCCTACGCCCTTTACCGGAAAATGGGCAAATTTTCGTTTGTTGCTCAAATAGTTTCGAAACCCAACAGATTTCGTTGGCTACGCGGCGGTCGGGGTCCTCTGCAGGACATTGTGACGAAGGACTGGACGGTGGAGCCAGTGGGTCTGGATAGTCGGACCAATTATTCTTGCTACGCATACAATGAGGGAGGCAAAGGTGTGATGGCCACAGTAAACTTGGAGGTACACGCACCTCCGTTTTTCATAAAGAACTTGCCACAGTACACGGGAATTTTGCACTCCTTGTCAAATGCAACTTTGACTTGTCGCATCGAATGCGTCCCGCGATGCGACATATCTTGGCAAAAGGATGGTGTGCCAATAGAAAAGAACGACACCCGATATTTTGTAAAAGAAAAATACATGGATGCCTCCCCCGCAACGGGCGATTTTGAAAGCATGCTATCAGTCTTGGTGAGTATGCTCAATATGTATTACTTTATTCTAGCACAAAAACATTACGTTACACATCGGTAAAACCTAACTACAACCTGTAATTTCTCGATTTCCTTAAATAATAGAAATATCTCAAGGCGACAACAGTCAAGTTTAGAAGCTTAAATACCCTTGCAGTAAATATACATTTCAACAAAAGCTTATATATACCAACTAGGAAAACACTCTATGATTTTCAATTATTTTCCGACTGCCTTAAGAGTTTTCATAGTTCGGAAAACTGTGATTCGAATTTTAAATTTTTGGTGTTGAAAAATAACTGCTTTTTATGCTTCCCCTAAGGTAATACAAGAAATCAGAATTATAAATAAGTTATAATAAGTTAAATATGTTCAAAGCAATAATTTTAATCAGCTGTTCGACGTTGACAAACAATTCCAATTATGCCAAACGTTCTTGCGCCATCGTTATATTGGCATCGACATCGCTCAACAAGATTTTATTTTCAGCTTTTATTTGGTTAAGTGAGACCTTATTGACAATACATGCTGTGATTTCAGCATTTTAATATGCCCAATTGGCCTGATTCGAAATTCAATATCGAGGCTGATAATGCAAACTACACATGCGTATCAACGGGTAATAGCGTCGGCGGAAGCATAAGGAGTCGCACCTATTTTGGCATTGAGTGTGAGTGAAAATAAATATTTTATATACAACAAATTGAAACTTTGCCTAATAGACGCACCTGAAAATACGACGGTTTCGGAGAATATTGTTTATGTACAGGAAGGCACAATACCAGGACGCGTCATTTGCAAATCTCGAGCTAACCCAGGTTTGTTGTTCAACTATATAACTTTTTTAACCCTATATCATTACCCTACATCTTATTACTACAGAGCCTTCATATAAATGGATTTTCAAAAACCAAACTATAGCCAATGGCAATGCATTAATTATTAATACTCCCATGAACCGAAACGATAATGGAACATATACGTGTCGTGCGTTTAATAAGCACGGTAGCAGCATTGCGAAAACCGTAATTGAAGTCCACTGTAAGTGTAAGAAGTAAAATATGTATTTTAATAACATATAAACCTACTTTTCTCGTCTTGACATCATATTTTAAAGTTAAGCCACGTTGCGAAATCGAGAGACAAGAAATTGATGACCAGGACACGCTCGTTTGTATTGCGTACGGAAATCCACTAGATGTAAGTGTTTCCATGCTTAAGTGCATTAAAATCGACAATAATACTTGACCCGAATTTACCAAATTTAGTCCAAACCACAGGTGTTTTGCTGTACAACGCTGGTGCTATGTATCAATGTCTTTAAATACAAATTCAAATGTTTAATCGCTCTAAAACTGATGGTTTAGTTTAATCTTAATCATGCAAATAGCTAATCCACGTGCGACCCTTTCCTGGAATTCTCGTTTCTGAACTTCTCGTCTTTTACACTGTAACACTAACCCAAAAAGTTCTCAGAACTAAAAATGTAGAAATATCTGCGCTTTGTAAGGCTTAGACTAAATGTTAAATGTTGATTTCTTGTAGTTTTCTTTCCAATTTATACCGACAGACAAAGAAATGTTGAAATTTGTACTTCGTCCTTCCACTAGCATAATAATGGGTACTATTCACTAAATCGTGCAGTTTTGTTTTTAAATGAGGAAGTGTCTAACAATGTCAGAACAGAATGTATTCTAAAAGATATTTTTCAATCCGCAAATAAGGGATGTTAGAAAATCAATGTCGAGTTAGTGGTTCTCCGGCATCATCAAGATCTGATATGATATAATCCGAAAGCCGATAAGATCCCCCACAAACTCGTAAGATCGCCGGAAACTAGGGCAATCAGCTCGATACATGGAGTCCAGGACAAAGAAAGAAAATTAAAGTCAACAACTATGGTCAGTATTATAATATATGTGTTAGTAGATATAATATGGATGTCGGAGATGAAGGCTCCAGTCCATGGAGGAATAAAGGAGGAGATATCAAAGAAGTTGTCCTAGGAAGGTATATTCTGACAGATAGAAACGTCAACTTCGGAGTTGGTAAAAACCTGAAAGGGTAGGTCTAACATATGAGCTTTCTCCTTGGGTTTCTTCCTTAGGCCTCGCACGCACTATGGCTGAGATTTGAACTTGTTTATCTCCGCCTCCCTCTCTGCGTGAAAGTGCGCCCACTGAAAGTAAAAGTATTTCATTGTTTAGCTCCCTTATCAGCTCAGCAAGTTCAGCGGCGAATATACAATCCTTGATAGGTTCCTTGATATGAACTAGTGTAGCAAAACCAGCTAAAAAATTTTAGAAATTTATAGAAATGTACATAATATATAACAAAATTAAAAAATAGCACAACGTTAAAAAATATCAGCGTATATGTATCTGCATGCTTGATCTCAACATTCTAGCTGTTTTAGTTCCTGAGATCGAGATCATATTATAGAAATCCATATTATATAAATACAGACCGCCGAAACGAACTTGCACCAATTCGATCCTAATATAAATATATTACTCTTAATATTCTTGCAGGCAGATTTTTCTTGGTCAATTAAAACTGAAAATGAAACAGACGAAATCTTAGGCAGCGGAAAAAAGGAAACTTCTGTGGATAAGAGTTTTTACATATTGCAGACGGACTATGCAATATCCAGGACTTACAGATGTGTTGCAAATAATACTGTTGGTTACGGCCCATTTTGTGAAATTGAAGTAGCTGGTACGTATAAAATGAGCATTGACTTTTAAATAATTTTAAAGAGTTAGCATGTAAAATAAGGTTGCCAATTTATATGTGAGATACTTTTGCATATTTATTGATTATGCTTCTTCCTACCCGTTATTCGTTGAGTAAGAGGGTAAGATTCATTAAAAGGTGTTACAGGTATGTAGAAGTAACCTTTTCCGCTCCATAAAGTCCGACTCTGAAAAGATCATCATTGATATAGGGAGACGATGGAACCCTCTTTTTCCACCATCCTTGTTGCATCCAGAGCAGCTGACGTTGCTCCATATCTGGCCGGTTTGAGTCGGAAGTACTTAATTTGGTCAGATGGCTTCTTGCTCCAGTCGATTAGTTCAAAATGAGTAACGGGTATCTGATAGTCGAGAAACTCGACTATAGCGTTTTGTCTTTTAAATCATGTTCCAAGCATGGCATTGCCTTCAGAATATTTTCTTTTTGATTGAAAGTAAAATTTTTAATTTAAGCTAAATTTATTTTATTTTTAACAGCTGCTTCATCACTTTTAGTTTGGTGGCAAGGTAAATGCCAGAAAAACACCCATTCTAATTTTTTATAATATATATTATAAGGCTTATAGATATATATATAAGGCTTAATATTAGATACAGTACCACATATTTTATATTGTCATATAATTGCAACCTATTGTACTAATGCGCCTTTTTATGTTTTACTGTGTTTTTAAACATTCAAATTGAATTCCATGCATAACTAATTGAATTAATAATAATATATAAAGTGAGACCAAAAAGTAAGTAAATTTTAATTTTAAATTCTAATTTCATTTTTCATAGATACATATGAATAATATCACAAAATACATTTTTCATAAAGATTTTTTTATTACATTATCACATTCGATAAAATCTGTCATACATTTTTTTTAAAGGTATTTCCATTTTGTTATACATTAAACTGATATCTTGGAAAGCTTGGAAGTGAGATTAACCATGCAGATTCTATTGAGACATACGATGTTCATGTTTGTTTCAGAACGTTGATACACCCACAAACTGTCTTCCCCAAAGTTTTGATATTTTTTTATTTGTCTGAACAGTTTCTGTAGATTGTCAAAACTATTTTGGACACGCCTTCTCTAACGTCCACAAGCCGTAAGAGTCTGACACGCCCACAATTTTGACAACAGTTTTTTTTTTTTTTTTATTATTAGTTTGTTATATTCTGCCGGTATGCAAAATTTAGAAATTGTTCCGCTTCTTTTGAAATATTGATAGAAATTTACAGAACTTTGGACGTGGCAGCTTGTAGGCTTTAGAGTAGGTGTGGCAACATCGACAACGTCAGTAGAATCTGTCTGCTTGATTTCAACATGCAAGCTCTTATAGGTTCTGGACGTCCATATGGACGGACAGACGAAAGAACAGACGGACATATCATATTTTTTTATCATTATAAAAATAGTTTGCACTATTGGAATGTTGGTAATCTGCCGAATTTGTTAACACTGTTAAGCATATTTCACTTCCTTAATTATTTATATTTTTTATAAAATACATTTGAAGATGTCGAAATAAAACATCTTTTTTGATGATTTGCATGCCTCACTTTTTTCTAAGAAGAACAATTTTGCATCACAACAAAATTTACGCCAGCTTTGTTTCTTAATCGAAACCCATTGAATCGGGGGTACTTGTCAAGAAACTCGAAGTTGTAACAGCATGATCCATGTAATCGCGAGTCGAAACTACTAAATTAATATAATTTATTTACTGTGAATACAATAATTAAAAAGTGTACCTATTTTTTAAAACTCAAATTAGGGTTTCCGCTTGCAGGATAAGCTTTATATAGTCGTGCTTGACTCATAATTTTCTAATTCCTTAAAACTTCATCGCCGAACTATACAGTACTCAGCAAGTACATTAATATACTCGTATTACAATATAATATATTTTATAACCCTAAACCCAAGCTCCAATAAAACTTAAAACATTTTTAAACTGGTCTATACACAGTTCATACTAACGAATTTTTTTAATATATAATTTTTTTAAGGAAAGTTTAATATAATAAGGAGAAAGCAAAACAAGATAGATTTTCGGGTAGAAGGTGTTTAAAATGTTGCTGATTATCGTTTAACATAGATCAATGCGAAAAAATTACAAAAACCTCCTTTAACCTAAATGGTAGCTACTTACATAGATATTGTTTTACAATAAATCATATAAATATTTAATATAAAATAATACAATACTTTTATATAAACATGTTTTATATTAAATCAAAGTTATGTATATTTAAGTTACATATGTAAAGAGCATTTACACGATATGAAAGACAGGTTGTCTTACCATTTTACTTTCAATAGAGATTTTTACAAATGAATACCATACGTATATTCAAAATTGCTCGCTTCGTTAAATGACATATTGCATTTATTTAATATATATTCGAAACAGTTGAACATATTTTTATTTTAACAGCCCCAAAGTGTCTAATCTATAACTAAGTAAAGTTAGATTCATTTCGTATAAGCACCTTTATTACAGCTACAAAAACAAACATTTCATAATTCTCCGTTTCATTCGCAATTTAGAGCAACTCGCATGGTGGCAACTCTGGGAAAAGAACACACTGATCATACTCGTGGCTGCTATCTTGGGATTAATGCTGACTGTAATTATAATATGTTGCATAATTATATGTATTTGCCGTCGCCGCCGACGCCAGGATAAATGTGAGTATGGTTATTTAAAAGCAAAACGATTTTCTTACAAACAATTTTTGTAATACAAATTCTAAGCAACAATTAAAGCGAACAACAAAAAAGCTTGCACAATTTGTTTAAGAAAAAACACTAAATTAAAAAAAAATAATTTCGTTGTTTGATTGTTTTAACATGAACTCCTAACGTTCCGACAATGCATGAGCAAGGCTATTTTCAAAAAATTTCGCATGATATATTTTAGTGTAGGCTGCCAAATTATCAGGTATAAATCAAATCGGTATAGACAGATTTTTACACTTTAACTTCGTCGTTTACCAGCTTAAACTCTATGGGCAAGGGACACGATTGCAAAATTTTAATTTTTTGGTACAGTGACTCTAGTCAAATTCAGGGTAAGGATGAATATAACTACGATTATAGGCTATGTTTATGCGAAACACCTAAATTGTTTGCTTTTATTTGGTCTCAGCTGTTACTGATGCCTTATGGTTAAAACAAAAATTAAAATATTTTAAAGTTTGGGCGTTACAGCTTTGGGCGGTTTGTGGGTGCTAGAGAAAACATGGTCAAAATGTTTTATGTATAGGGATAGCAAATGGCAAGACAAATAGTAAAATGAAACAATTTCAAAACATTTTGTAAAAGTGTAGGCGTACCAGTTTTGGGCGGCGTGCGGGCGGTATAGTGGGCGTGGCAGTTTCTTGGCATATCGATAGAAATTTACAAGATATATAAAAAAATAAAAAAATTTAAAATTTTTCAAAAGTGTGGGCGGGACAGTTGTATGCGGTTTGTGGGCGTAAGATTGCGCGTGGCAACATTTGGAAACAAACTTGCGCTGCGTCTATGTCTCTGCAAACCGATTGCAAAAATTATATTCGCAAGTGAGGTAGTTTCCGTACCGACGGTCTTAAGGAGTTCGGCTATGGCCGGGTGGGGGAGTTAGGAACTATTACCCTTTTCGCCTGGGCTTCTCATTGTCTTCCTTGGACTCTGTTCGGATTACTGGACGTGCTGGCAGGCTGGCGACCTGCCCCCAAATGCGGTCGGAGTACGACATACCTATAAGAAAATTAATATGATCATAATTTTATTATATTTAAATATAGTAAACGTGTTTGCTTGACTTTTTTATTTAAGTATTTAACATGTTCGATTTGCTTTACATTTGCGACGGTGCGACATCAATAAACGCTGTATTTAACGCAACTAACTCGCATGTGCTTCAACAACAATTCCACGCATATATGACATACACACAACTACACCTATATGTACAGATCTCACGGAAGTGCCCATAAGTTCTATCCAAAGGTAAGTAATAATTGTAAATTACAAATCATTTAATTAAAAGCTTTTTTAACTACATATGTTAATGCACAGGCTTTACCTAAGTACAAACCTTTTTCCTTTTTTAATGGGGAATACTGTCAGAAATTGGAAATGAGTTCCATAGACTTTTTTATCGTCAGTTTTTTAGTAATGATGGCTAATTCCGTTATATTAATTTTTTTATTCAATTTTCAAAATAATTATTTACAACTTTCATATCTTCCGAACCTAATTTTTCTGTGCATTTATTGGCCATACAAATTATTTATAATTGTCTCACTATTGCAATAAAAATAAGTGTCTGCATAACTTGATAATGTTAAAATAAGCTTTGCATGTAGATACCCTAGAATGTTTTACTAACTAAATTAAATTTTTACCTTGAATACTGCACCTTCATACGCGTCCCAACCCCACACACCATTATTAGTGTATTATCCGATCAGTTAGAAATGTCACGAGCGGGTGGTAATCTATCAACACAGGATAAATGTACAGCCTTTTTGCCAAAGCCATCTTCCTCGCGCTTCATTGGTAACGCACCGAAATCGCCACCGCGCTGGCCAATTCGACCTGGAGTAATGCTTCACGTAAGCAGCAACACCAAAGAAAATCTGACTGTAAATCGAATGACAGCAAAACCGAACGCATCTGGTAATAGTGGCGACATGAGCCAGTTGTCGGCCCAGTTGAATGCTGTATTAAACGGAAGTCGGGAAAACTCCGATGGCACCATCCTAACCGAGTTGTCTGCGGTGTCAAGGGATATTGCAGCATCTGAGGTTTCTTCACTAGAAGCAGCAAACCGAATGGAAGCAACTGTATCGATTACAGAAAGGAATGCATCTACAGCAGTGGCGCCCCAGGAAAGCTTATCTTCCAAAACTCATAGAGGTGCCCAAAACAAATTGGATCATATTTGGTCATTGCTTTTTAAAAAAGCAGACGATTGCACTCGGGATAGTCAACGGAGCCATGTTGGCCTTTTGCAGACATTTTGGCGCGGGCTGGCTTCTAATGAAAGCACTTCTGGATTCGAAACTCAGCATCGTTTGAAAGGAATACGTTGCAGCGGAAGTGGTTGAGTATATTTAGATAATTTTTATTTGAGCCATATTTCATGAACATATTTCTTCTGTTCTCGTTTTCTTATTTTTTCCTTATGTTCTGTATACATCAACAAATATCCATCCTCTAGTAACCTACAAAAAGGCAAAAGATTCTGTACATGCAACGTCTGACGCAGCACCAAATGGCGAATCATCCTTAACAATAAAGCCCAACAACTGCCAGTCGTCCGTATCAATTCAATTGCCTTCAAATTTGAAAGAAAATACAGCTCTTTTTTTAATAAAAGAAAAAAGGAATAATTTTTCGCAGGAAATAGAAAATATACCGTGTAATGTTGCTCCTCCTGTAACGAGGGGAAGCTCTTTGGAACCTCCCCCGAGACCTGCACCTCCATCATTACCATTGAAGAATTTGTTTAATATAACCAGCTGGAACTGTTCTGGTAATTCAGCAATGATCCCATCCAATATACTCGATAAAGAGCAAAGTAAGAATACATACACGTTTTTCGACTTTACTAAGAATTTGGGTATCCGAACAATATTTCAGTAATAGATTAAAAACCACAAAAAGTTCCCTTGGAATATTTAAAGAACTGTAATTTACATACTTATTACGAGTATATGTAGACTAAAACATACTAATCGACATACCCGTTATTCAGCTAATCATGGGTCTTCGAAATTTACTCATTAGCGTAAGTTATTTGCTTTTGTTAACATCCGAAATCAGAGGATTCGGCGGGAAACTCTACAGTTTTACATCTTCCTGTTATTTAAAATATCTTTATATTCGTGGAGAGTACAAACCGATTTCAGTCAATAGTTAGCAACACAGTAAAGTACATAAAATATGTATTCCCTCAGATTAAAAGTAATATGCATGAAACTTTCCCAAAGGCCTAATTTCTATTGCAGATGACATATAAATCGAGAAGGGCAGAATCTGACCACTGAAAATAAATAGAAAAATGTACTTTTGTTTTTTCATCATAAAATGCTTTTATTGGGTATATAATACACAATTATTTCAATATTATACTATTTGATATGAATCGGACGATTGTATTATTTAGCTGCGATAGAAACAAGCGGGAAATTATTCGAAGATAATAGAAAGAAATTCATAGTGTCGCTGCTTTTGATCACAAATTGTTCTTATTCGTAATTCAACAAAATAAAAAAGTTCGTACCATCAATTCAATCGTAAGTAGAATAAATTATGAAATACTATTTGAAGATTATCACGTTGCTTATACGTACAATTAAAGAAGTTACCATTGGCCGTTGTTTGCATGTTCCTTCAATGTTAAATATTAAGCACTACTCTGATCTACTGACTATGAACTAAAAATATAATTTGAAACCTTATTTTTGACTTTTTTAAATTTATTTCTCAACAATTTTTTTTAAATTATTTGATTTTCTTTTCTTCTCGTTTGCTTTCCATATACCAAATATAAATTCCTGGGAATATATTTAAAATACAACCAATCCATACCATATATGCCTCATATAGTAAACGACAAGTCGTCTTCACTGGGGGAACCGTTGACGGAACCTGGCGAGTATGAGAATCTTCCATTTCATGGTCTGCAAACGGCACCTAACAAGGTACAATAAACATATATATAATCTTCCTTACACTCCATGAATACTTTTACGATCACTTGACCTATTTCCATTAATTACTTGGTTACGCAATTTTGTATCCTGCATTGCAATATTTTTGATCAAAATTCAAAAAAACTGGTTTAGCGTGTACTTAAAACATTTATTGTTTATAAATCGTACATTGTACACTCATGCTTCATTTGTCCACATACTTGCTTTTTTACTTTTTAGCCGCTTCAGGTAATTTGGAGAAAATGTTTTGATTGGTTACCATGCACAAACTCCAGTTCTGAATGAAAAAACATTTATTTCAATATAAATTTAAAAGCGAAAACGTACCGTATTCGGAATCTGTGCATTGTAATCAATCAATTTATTAGATCCAATTAATGCAATTTTTTCGGTACACAGTGTATTTTAAGAAGATCCAAAATTTAAGAGTAGCCGCCAAGGAATTTTATTTATAGTTTAATTTCAAAAAAAAATTGTTAATTTTTAAGTAGAAAGTTAAAACAGTTACAATAGTTCTATTATTTTGTACACCAATTTCATTTTGAACTATGATTATACATAGCTGGGTAAGATATCTAAACGGATTGAATACGTTAAGACAACACTGAAACATTTTAAATATATATTATAGACTTAAACGTTTTTCTATAATTTATGTGGATAATCCATGATTTATATCTTTATTGTTGTTCGCTAGCAAACACTATAAAACACACAAGAATATGACAAATTGATAAAATATATAGAATATTTATAAAATATTTAAATTTTAGAATATTTATAGAATTTCCTTTGACTAATACTCATTACTAAAAACTGAACTAATTTTTTTCTGTTACCTTTGCTTCTGTGTGCTCCTTGCTAACTTGTGATGCTTACGCAATGGATTTGTTAACCAGTTCTCTACTACCCCTACAAATTTTAATAACAACACAAATGCGGTGCGCGTTGCTCAAAGACCCAAGACACTGATTGGAAATATCAATCAGCCATCTGTCGGCCATTACCAAGATTGCCAGGCCATTCAAGATCCACTATTATACCAGCAACAATATTCTTCCGATCAGGACACACAAAATGATCAGAGATCACAGTACAACACAAAGCACCGCCTACCAAATAATGTTGAATATAACCAAAGCCAAAATAAACCAGATTTTAATAGCCTAAGCAATGGCTTCCCTAAAAGTTACACTGAGTATTACCAGCAGCATCAGCATCCGGAAAAAATGCAAATGCAATTTCCACCAGGAGCATCTCAAGAGTTGAACAGCATTTCGCTATCTAATGTTAATTTATTGAATGGCACAGATCATATTCCACACTCGGCACTGGTTAATATTAACCCATTCCTGGCGGCCTCTAACTTCAGAAAATACGATAAAATGAGCGAAGAATTACTTGGCAGTATGCCACGTGCGAGGCACAACAAAGGCACTTTGAACTTTGAAAACAAATTTTATTCGCTTAAACATCCAGGCGGAAACAAGCTAATAAATCGGGCCCTGGATAAAGACTATTCCATAGGTGGTACCGCCTCATCAACACCCTCCGGTACTGAATATACCTCCCTTTCGAAATGCAAGATGCACAATTCCTTTAACTACAATAGGCCCTGCAATGTGGGCACGAACATGCAGCCGATGCGCTTATATGATCCTTCTGCTTACCAGAACATGGTTGTGGAGCACGGAGATGATCCAGATATAGAGTCTAAAAAAGGCGGCGGCAACCTGACTACTGTCCAAATGCACACTCATCCAGGCAAAGATAAAATAAAAAAGCAACACCATTGGCATCACCAACACCGGGAAAAAAAAGATGAAGGTCTGGGTTCTGATGTGCATCAAGTGGAGCCTGAGCGCATCAGCATATATCGAAGCGACTCTGGAATTTCCAACAGCTCTTACGAGTCACAATTTTCAAAACCGAAAAAGGCAACCCTAAACACATCCTCTGGCCCATTAGTTCGAAACCATGCACACAAAAACATGGAACCCCAGATCAGTGTTTTCGATGCGTCCTATGCAAGTAATGTTTCTGAAAGCGCGCCACAATTAGATAATAAAACATCGCATCAGTCCTGCACAGTGCAAAGTGTTACATCTTCGCATTGCAACCGTCCTCAGCCACGAAATCGGTACAGCGAGGAGACTACTAAAAATGATTTCGAGCTGCATCAACTGGGTCACCACTGCGTGGGGCCGGCTTCTCCGCCTTCAGAATGCATTAGTTTAGATAGCTCCAGCAGAAGCGAATATTTTAAATCGGCGGGGCCAGCCCAGTGTAGTAGTGTTCAGACACCGAATGAGGTAGGTATTCGAATATGCAAATAAAGACACGACGTTGTGGAAGAAGGGGAATATATACATAATAGTTCTTGCTTTTTAAGAGACGATTCCTTGACAACTAGAACTGGCCGGGTATACCTCAAGATTCGATCAATAATAGATTTGATCGATAGTTTCCAGTCCTATAAAGTATATATTCTTGCCACGTCCGTCTGACCTTCCGTCCTTAAGTTCGTCAGTCCGTGATCGTCTGTCTGTCCGAATGAATGTCGCGAGAACAAAGAGAATACACTTTCAGTCGACTGTCAGACGCAGAAAACTTTATTCTGATATATACTAAACGTTAAATAAGTGCTACAAAGCATTAACAGATTAAAAAAAAAAAATCTATACCAATGGAAAGAAAAAGAATTTTTTTTTACATTTAACATTTTTACTTTAACAGTTTTATTTTAGTCGGTTGCGTCATTAACTTTTTCATTTTCTTGCGAGCAATATCGTCAATACTTATGACATTTTAGTCATTTTTTCTTAAAGTTTATATGCCAAAAACATAACAGTTTGTTTCTTCGATACCGTAATAAAATCCGACCTCTTGCTTAAAAAACCTGATCCAGGAAACTTAAAATGTTTATTTCGAGACTAATTTATAATTTATGTCTGGTAGTCCTGGTAGTAAAAGGAGGAAGCAAATTGTGCCTTACAATAAAATATTCGTTCACGAGTTCCTTAACAGTACTACTAAAGTAATTTGCAATAACTTGTAGTTATTGCATACCCTTATTCCTTCTTCAATTATTTATATATATTTTAGGCTTTTATTTTAGATCATGTTTCAAACTTTATTTACTTTCATGATTTTTATACACGTGGGATTAATACGGCGACAACATAACTACAACGCATTTTTGACAAAACCCGCATAATGCATGTTTTTACAACCTAATGTTTAAACTAACGGCAGAAAATCCAACCGCTCGCTATTAATCCCTTTCCAGTTAAAAATGGGAAGTATGAAGCATGCACCAGTAACAAAACCAACAAGAAACAACGAAGACAAACCATCAGCAACCCATACGAACATATCCAAAGCCACCCATATGCAAGACCTGGCGACCTTTGTGACGTCTCCAGAAAATTCCAGAGTACCAGCTCAGAAACCTCTAAAGCTTACAATTCTGGCTCCAAATCTGACACGAGTGCTCCTAAAACAGCAGCGCCAGAGCCAGAGCATTCGAAAGTCAAGAACAAAAAAAACCGGACTGGCGCCAATAGAGAACATTATGAAGAAATGCTAGCTTCAAATAACTCACAGGCGTCAAGACTAGGTTCTCTAGCCGACATCGATGATTTTCCGTCCGAGGTTCCGTCGAACGCATTGGTAGCTAATCCCGTAGATGGCCAGTACGATTGCTTAGTGGTGCGACGACCAATGCGCATGCCGTTGCGTAAACATCACACCTTCCATTTCCAAAGCACTCAGACGGCCAACGGCAAGCTACAACAGCTGCGGGAGCGAATGCAACTTCAGCTACACGAAAGTAGGAAGGTCGATCAAGGTCAAGAGTTTCCACTGGTGTTTGATGCGCTGGAATTAAGTGAAAAGCATGCCTTCAAGCCCATTTCACCAATACCTACGATAAGCAAGTCGGCAGTGCAGAGTACAAGGGAACAGGATCAACTCGATTGTCCTCCGCAACATGATTCTGCACGCCATTTGCAAGGGGCAGAAGATGATGAAGACCTTGGATACAGTTTCTGTGAAGAAGAATGCGCTGTAGAAAACGATATAAATCCCACCTCAGACAATCTTATTACTGCCCCGCCCAACAGCTCCTGTACATCGAAGGCTGTTGAAAACGCGACTGTAGGTGCTCTTAAATACTTTATGTCGCAAAGTAGTTGTGAAGTGCATATTTAAGTATTAAAATAATCATGACGAATAAAGCCTAAGTGACACAAACAAGGTATTTAATATTAAGTATACTTAGAAAAATCTATTAATACACTCAAAACCAAAAACCAAACCATTGTCCGTAAAACAAAACTAATAAATCTAAAAAAACTTCATTGTGTGTTGTAGTTTCGGGATGTACAATATATTTTATACCCGTAACTTGTCGAAAAAATGGTATTTAGATTCATTGAAAAGTGGAGTGGCAGGTTGAAGGAAGCTTTTCCGACCCTATAATAACGATTTATTCATATTACTTAATCCGCTGTCCGTACGAACGTTAAACTCTCTTGAACTATGAAAGCTTGAAAGCATAGCATGCAGATTTTGGTAGATCTTGGCTTTTAATCTTGGCCACGTCCACCATCTGGCTACCAACTGCCCAAAGCTGTCACGCCCACACTCTTGAAATATGATTTGAAATTTTTCTTGCTTTATTATTCGCTTTCAAATGTTTAGTCGTAAACATAAAATGTAACTAGCAGTTGTGACTAGCAGTTTTAATAGTTTAAATGTTGAACCTAAGCTGTTCTCGACAATGACATACATGGTTATTATTATAAAAGTTTCAATTATTTTCAAAAAACAGCGTTTTGCACCATCATAATGCATCGTATGGCATCGACTTATGTTAATATTTTTGGTTTTACTGTTCAATAAGAAAGTGGATTAAACCTGGTGTTTTTGCAGGATGAAGAGTAGGAAATGTCATACATGTAATTTTTGTATTTTAGTGTACCGATATATTTCGATCTAACCTCCGGGGACTTAAACGTTACGATATGTAAATAATAAGCTTATAAATAAAAAATAATTTGTTTATGCAAATTCTATTTTGTCGGACGTCAAACTGTTAGGGCAATACATTGTACAATCCAATTACTATAATTAAACTGCGTTTAAAAGTTAATATAATTCCCCTGGTTATCACGCAGCCAATTTTTAAAATCTGATCTATTCACGACTTCTTTAATATTTACAAAGCGTTAACGTTAAAAATGTCAATTTGTTTTTTGAGTGATTTTACAAATGTTTTTTAGCTCAGTGACGAGAATCTGATAGTCGCGGAAATCAATTGCAGGGTTCTTCCAAAGACAATAGAAATTCAAGAATTCTGATTCTAGAATTTTAGAATTATTCTAGTGTTTTTGATTCTTCCTTGCTATGCTCTTGTAGAGGATTTATTTCTTTAAGTTAGAAGTGTACAACGTAGTGAAGAAGTCTTTTTCTTCCACATACAGGATTTTAGAAGAAACACCCCTAAGCAAGATATTTTTTATGGTTGTCTTAAAATTGCAATACTTTGTATTTCCTAAAAAATGTTTACCGACTTTAAAAAAATTAAAAATTAAAATTATTAGAAAAATCAATTTGAAACAATTAAAGGTTTGTAGATTATCTACCTTCTTACCTACCTTCTGAAGATACTGAAGTTTTCAAAATGTATTGGATAAATTAAGAACATAAGTCATATTTAGCATTAGGCCGGCAAAACCACAGTTTGATAAGGAAATAAGTTAGAATTACCAACTGCAAGTTACTTAGTATAAAAAAAGAAATAATAATTACGGATGTATATATTTTATATATTATTTTGTAAGCTATTTCTTAAAAACTGAATTCAATCTTGACAAAAACGTATCCTGTAATAATATATACTTTGAATTATATTACTTTAAATTAGCTCAAAGTTAATTTCAATATGCTATTATGCCTAAACTCTTAAATATATCATTTTAGCAACATACATTTAGATATTATAATACATCTCAAAAACTTGCCTCTCCTAGGAGTGTCAATACCCTTGCGGATATATTATAATGATCAAAAATGAAAATATATTGTTAATATTGCAAATATAGGGTTTACTTAAAAAAGGCAATTGTTAATGGATTTCAGATATCCAAAATTCAACATCAATTACGTGCACAAACTATAAAACAATGGAAATAGTTTATAGTAGATAGCTCTAAAGCTTAGCCCGCAAACGGGATTGAAAAACGGTCAGAATAAAGGGCCAAACATTAATGCATAATAAGACCAACAACTAAATTACCAACTGCAAGGGTAAAAATATTGTTTTTATTTGTAAGCCAATAAAACAAAAAATATGATTAGGCAATTCAATAATGTAGCAATATGTCAAGGTTTAAATTGTAATAGTAAAATATAATTTCAGGACTTATGCCGCCAAATCGCATACAAAATACAAGCTTGGTCACCAGTGTTTTTAGACGCTGAAAATATATATTTTAATGCTAGTTTGTTAAAAGGATTTGTTTTTTAGTTATCTCTTAAGTTTAGAGCCATTTTATTCTTTAATGCAATTGGAAACTTACAAGTAGTCAGTCCACAAGTCTTAAGTCTGAACAACTTTGTATATATATGTATACTATTAATTTTAAGAATGTATACAACACAGCAAATGTATTAATTAGTTATAAATGCCCAACAACCAAGTATAGACTGTTACAATATTAGCATGTAAACATAAACCCCTAACCAAAATGTGTGTAATATTCGAATATCAAAGAGAACTAGTTATTTTTTTTTTAAATTCTGTTGGCGGCTCGCTCAGAACAATTGGATTCTTTATAAGTAAAATAAATTAAACCATCATTCACAACATTTTCCGACAATTTTACAAAAGTTTTCATCAATTCTCCTAAAAGAAATAAATTGTAATTTTTTAGCATCTTTCCGACTTTGAGGATCCTTACAAAAGCAGCAATACTTATATATTCTAAGATTTTATTTGAATGCATTTTCCATAACAGAGATAATGTTTATTGTCCGAGTAGAAAGAAGGTAAATCTAATTTTTGTTTAATTAATCAATTCAATCATTTTTATTAGTATTTTTCGCTATAATTTAATAAATGGATTTAACAAAGGCAAATTTTATCTGACAGCCACACCATTAATTTTATTAAATTTCATAATTCATAACTAGGCGCTATTTGTTATACATTTGCATGAAAATAGCTTGTTTTATCAATATTATTGAAACATAACGCCTTAAATATTTGACAGCTTTTCACTTATATTATTTCCCTTATCCATACAGCCAATAAATGCCAACATTTTTGATGATGAATTCATTTATGCTGATCTCGAGAGTCAACATTACGGACCTATCAATTACAAGGCGGCTTCACTATACTCACAAGTAAAAAAAAACAAGAAGTCAGGCGCTCTTGATGAATTTAAATAATCTTCTCTTTTGTTTTGACAATGCATTTTAAATAAAAAATTGCGTATTTTAGCTTAGAAACTTTTTTGAATTTTTTAAAGTGTTAAAAATTTGTAATATGGAATAAAAATTGAATAAAAAAAATAACATACAAAATTATTATTTTACACGTTGTCACTTACTCAACCTCTCACTCTGAAATCTTTATTTTAACACTCGATTTTAATGGAGGTAATCACTGAATGGGTTTAGATTAAGTACGATAAATAAAAGATAAATATTAGTAAGAATGTGTCGAAATGGTTCGAGGCAACCATATTAGATTATTATTAGCAAAAGTAAATAATAAACGTTAAACAAAAACATTAAATTGTGTAACCGTTTTTTCAATATTAAAGAATTTTACTAAAAATGTTTCTGACAAATATTTTCACTTTCAAAAAAAAAACGGATTTTGTAGGTAAGATTAACCTTAGGATTAACGTAGGACTTAACCTTGAATTCTCTGTTTGATAATAATCCTTTATAACTAAAAGTTTGTAGCGTGCGTTATTATTTGCTTTGCCAACTTGTATCGGTATGCCAGAAAATTTTTGAAAGCTGAGGCACGCTAATTGAATTAAAAAAGCGCCAACATTTGTGCGGTTGCCCTAATTTTATATAAGAATTTATTCAGAAAATTAAATTCCCTTTTGTGTTGTCAGTACCCCATCAACTGGATTACGCCATATGACAAACCGTCTTGTAAAATTTGTTCCGTCTTTTGTTTAGCACGGAAGCTTATTGGAACATCTCACTTTGGTTGAAGGTCCACAAAAATCTTATTATAATTAGCAAAATTATTAAAAAAATTCATTTGCAAAAATATATCAAGAGAGAGTGCTATAGTCGAGTTCCCCGACTATCAGATATCCGTACTCAGCTAGTGGAAGTGCAAATGAAAAATTTCAACATTTTCTGGAATACCGGTAGAAATTTGGAAAAAAAATAATGAAATGAAAAAAAAAACTTGAAATTTTTTTGAAAAGTGTGGGCGTGACAGTTTCGCTCGATTTGTCGGCGTTGCAGTGGGCGTGGCAAAACGATTTTTGCAGATCTAATGAAAAAATATCACAAATGAAAAAAATATCACAACTTTTTTCAACGGGCGTTGGAATGGGCGTGGCCACAAATAAAAAAAAAATTTTACATATTTGAGAAGTGTAGGCGTGGCAGTTTTATGCTGTGTTCACATTAGGAAACAAACTTGCGCTGCGTCTATGTTTCTGGAAGCTGCATGCCTAATCTCAACATTCTAGCTTTTGTAGTTGCTGAGATCGAGGCGATCATACGGATAGACGGGCATTGCCAGATCGACTCGGTTATTGATCCTGATCAGGAATATATATACTTTATGGTCGGAAACGCTTTCTTCTGCCTGTTACATACTTTTCAACGAATCTAGTATACCCTTTTACTCATTAGTTTCTTGTTTGTGTATATGGTCTACTCTATGAATACTGTTGCTAGATTTGTAAGTCTTTCCGGAGTCATTGTAGAGCGCAGGTATTTTTTTAAGTTTTAATATAAAAAAGGACCTTTCCCCGCTTGCTACTTTTTTTGGCATATTTATTTTAATTCGTAATTGTATGGTAACGTTAGGACATAGCTGTGAAATTGTAAAAACATATAAATTCAAGAATTTTTACCTGAGCATGATTTAATTTTTTGAAAAATGTCTGCCATGACATCATTTCTTTACACAAATCATTACCGTTAAAATCCAATTAATCATTTGCTGAAAGTTTCTCCTGTAAACGATGGCAGCTACTTAATAATCGTTTTTAAACTCGGTCATCGTTGTGATTATTCAATAAATTAAATCTTTCATCTAGTATATAAAAAACACATTAATTTTAAAAGAGGTTTTCGAAAAGACGTTCATAATCAAAACTCACGGCGTCTCAGGGTCTGGATATAGACGTTTCAAATTCAGACTCGACGTCTAATTTTTCGGCAATTTTCTTGACATCACTTACAATTTCTTCAAAATTTGCGTATTCATATCGACAGATTCAAAAATTACTTACAAAATTTACTTTCGTCAATATTGTATGAAAGAAAAGGTGCATATGTTTTCTGCTATACATTTAGATTCCTCATAAGATATTATTTGACATTTCATATAATATATTTAATTTTGTAAACAGCGGTGCATCTTTCCGCTTGACCATCTTGTTTCAGATAACGGTTTTAAGATTTAAGACATTCAATTTTTTTTAATAAATCCCATATTATATCAGAGGACGAAAAATGTTTAAATAATTTTGCACAATACAAAAAAATCCAGTCGAATGATGATTGAGGTTGGCAGCGTCGTTTACTATTAAATTTAAACTATTAAACTATTAAAAGCGCATGGTCATAGAAATGCCCGGACACTTAAGAAATGTTGAAATTTCTCGTTCGCACTTCCGCTGGCTAAGTAACTGGTATATGATAGTCGGGGAACTCAACTATGGCATTCTCCCTTGCTTTTAATTCGAGCCTTAATTTTGTGTTTTTATGTCTATTGTCTACGGTAATGGTCGAGGTGGGTATTTCACCATGGGACGACCCAGTATGGATGTCTGTTTGGTGAATGGAATGGATAGGTTTGCGCTATATGGAATAATTCCATTGATTTGGGCGGATAGTTTACGTTTTGGGAAATAGAATATTTTTCATTTGTTTGTTGGGTAAGTACAATACACTGTTTCCAGTTGGCTTCTTTCAGATTGATAAAAAGCTCTGTTTTTGTTTCTTAGTTACCGGAAATAAGGTCGTGATAATAGGAAAATGGTCGCTACTATTACTAACACTAACAAGGTGTGTATTGTGAATGAATCTTTTTGTTTTTTGTTTTGGGGGAGCCCCCAAGACATATACCATCCATTGAAGTCTCCCGTAATTAGTGACAGTGTTTGATACAACATTTAATATATGTCGGAGCATAATTTTGCATGTGTTAGTGTATGGGTATTCTGGTAGTGTATTTCATCATAATGGAAATATTGCATCAGCCTCTATTTGCACAGTTATTGGTTGCTTGTAGTTTTGTAGTTTTGGGAAGAACCGTTTTAGCGCGGCGCCAGCGTGTTGTCGCTGACGCCGAGTGTGGTTCGATGGTAAGCACGTAGAAGTGTGCGACAGAGTGCAGTTGTGCGTAGTACTTCAGTGCGATCGGAACTCACTGCGCTAGCATTATGGCAAATAACAACGAAACTGCGACATCTGAAGTGGGATCGGGCTCGCTACCTGATATGTCTAGTGAACCATGGCGGATTTTAATGGAAATGCAAAATAGAAACTTTATTGAGCTTGTTAAAACACTGCAAACAACGACATCCGAAACAACAAATAAAAATTCGGTAGTGCTACCCAAATTCAACGCAGACGGTGCTGCCGTCGATGCAACCGCGTGGTGCTCTACAGTGGACATAATTTTCGCAGAAAACACCATAAAAGGCAGCGCGTTGGTGATGGCTTTGAGTGCAGCGATGGAAGGTAGTGCTTCGCAGTGGCTTGCTCAAATTTGTTATCCTGGCATAACTTGGGCCGAATTTAAAGAACTTTTCGTTCAACGTTTTGCCAGTGCGGAAACTCCAGCGGCTATGTTTTTGGCAATGCTGGCAGATTGTCCAACTGACGGTGAATGCCTTTCCAATTATGCTAGTCGCATGATGACGTCACTTATTACGAAATGCCGTGATATGAATGTGGAGGAAATTGCAACTTCAGTAACGCTTGCTAAGATGGCACATGTGGATAGCAGATTGCAGCGATTGACATTTACTTCAAATGTACGGACCAGAAGTGAATTGCAAACGGAGCTTAAAGCATTTACCTTCAACAAAAGGAAGAAAACTCTGCAAAAAGAAGCGGCTCCGTCTGAAATAAGATGTCATTTCTGTGGAAAACTAGGCCACAAGATGATCGAATGCAGAATTAAACAGCAGCAAAATCTTTCATCTCGTGCTAAGGACAGCAACGATAGAAGCGCAGTTGGTCACCATCAAAAATCGGATGTAACCTGTTTTAACTGTGGAGAACGTGGCCATATTTCAACATATTGCAGTAAACCGAAGAAAGAAAAAGGCACGCTTCAGGAAAAAAAGGGCGGAACTTTGTGAAGTTGTTGAACCCAAGGGCGAGATGGTTCATCAGTGCGAGACATATCCAATATCTTTTGACTCTGGATCGGAATGTTCTTTAATTAAACAAAAGCTAAGTAACAAATTTGTTGGTAAAAGAATTAACAATGTAGTGCTGTTGAAAGGTATTGGCAATGGTAGTATTTGTAGCACATTGCAAATACTTAGTAACGTAAAAATTAACAACTATTGTATTGAGATATTGTTTCATGTTTTGGACGATGTGCATTTAAGAAATGATACCATTATTGGTCGAGAAGTGTTGTTCTCAGGATTTAATGTAATAGTATCACCTGGTCAATTTAAAATTATCAGATCAAAAACTATAAATTATTGTTCAAATGATAAACAACTTTGCAAGTTGAATGCTGATCTTGTTGGTGAAGATATGAGGAGGTTAAAGAGTCTAATGGGAAAATACTCAAAATCTTTTATTAACGGAATTCCTTTGTCTGGGGTTAGCTCAGGGGAAATGAAAATTAAATTGGTAGACCCAAATAAAATTGTTCAAAGAAGACCATATAGGCTTAGGCCAAATGAAAGAGAGTTGGTGCGTGAAAAAAAATTAAGGAGCTATTGGAGTGTAAGATTGTAAAACCGAGCTGCTTACCCTATGCAAGTCGAACGCACTATGAGCACCTTAAAGAACTTATTGACTGCAGTTGAGACTAGCAGCCGCGCTTGGCAAGATGCGTTGGGAGAGGTTCAATTAGCGTTAAACTGTACGGTTAGTAAAGCAACCAAGGCAAGTCCCTTAGAACTGTTTATTGGCAAAGTTGCCCGCCCGTTGGGGTTGCTTCCACCTTGCGATACGGCAGACGAGATTGATTTGACAGAGGTGGGAGCGCAGGCAGTTCACAATATTTCAGCTGCAGCAGCATATAGCA